ATGGGTGCTTGTGGTGGTTCAGCAGCCGGAGAATCGGTGTCATCGGTGGTGTGCTTCAACGCCTCTGCAGCACGAAAGGTGTTGATGGCTCTTGTTTGAGAGGGGAGAGCTGCCTTCTCGGAGTGCTCCAGGAGCACAGCAGTTGGTTTGCCTTTGCACACTGGACGCACTACACGTGGCTCGTCGTCACTGTCTGTATTGACCGTTCCAACCATTAGATTTTTCAAGTTAGAGAAAAGGTAGCAATGCACCAGTACCATAGGCATGAATACCTTTTATCCCAATACAAAGGATCAAGATTGTGATGAAAAAGTACACTTTGAACACAAAACAACATGAGATAGAGTAACATCGACGGTGCAAAGCACAAAGATGGGCAACTTGCCTTTGTTTCTGACATATGAAGTGTTTGTTGGATTTGCAGAAGAGACTAAAGTAGCAATGGTTAGACAGATTTAGACATAGTAAATAAACTCATACCTGATGTCCAGATGTCCACAGAAGTCTGTAACAGATGATTTAACTCCCTAAAGTAAGGATGCATCAATATTGATGATGGATGAGCAGGGACATAAAGCCATGGCTTGAGCCGCTGACTCTGGCTTTCCAACAACTCAAGCCAGGCCCTAGGCTGTGACTTAGGCCTGGCTTGGCTTGACCTAATCCAGCCCAGCTTTGGCTGGCCCACGGCTTGAAGCTGGGCCGTGCACATCACTAAACAGGACTCCATGCAGAAGATATTCTAGCATTCCACCTATGCGCAAGCCATAACCCTTAAGGTTCCCCAGACCAGCTCTCTTTATAATGCCACTAATCTGTTTCCAGAACTTGCTCTGAGTCAGTGGTCTTGCTCCTTTGGTGTGTCTCCATGCAAAGAGATGTCCATTGATCTGAGGATCATTTATTGCAAAGTGGTAGAGTAACACCATTTTAGGATCTCTCTGGTTGTCTTGTTGCGCCCAATAAACACTTTCTCCTGCTGCAGCAACCTTGGTGCATGGTATGAAGATCTTGGTAGCTCTAAACTGATGCCTGTCTTCAATGTCAAATTCTACATCTGCGTGTTTGACCTGCTTTTCTGGATCAAAGTCTTTTATGGTCTTTGTGGTGAGTTCTCCTAGCTGACATAGTGTGTAGAATGCAGTCATTAAGCACATGTATACTGCGGCATTGAGCGGAGTTGCTAGATTGAGGTGGGACCAGATTTCAAGAATTAGCTTAACTGTGAATGGTGCTTGTTTGGTGCATTTCAAGGAGGAAGGGGTGAGTTCTGATGTGCCATCTAATGATGCTCTTAGCTGTTCTTGATTAACAATCCAGTTCTGACCATGTAGTGTGTGCCACACTTTGATCACATAGACATAGTTTGTCAGTGTCTTCCCTGAGTATGAGCTGGCACAGCTTGAAACAAAGTTCAAGATAATTCACGTGTCGATGGGACAACAGCTGTCCCTCCAGGACAGATCTCTTGTTGTAGAAGATGTGAAAAACCAGAAGACCAGCACCATAACACTCTCTTGTGCCTACTCCTTACATACCAATGGTCGACCTCAATACATACCAGACACCCAAGTACAACCAGGCCGATTTTGCTATGTATGGCAACCTGTTGACCCCCTTCCTGGCTTCATACTACCCCACCCCCATTCTTCACAATATTAGGATATCCGGTCCTTTCACATCACTTCTTACATACCAACACCAACACCTACCAGAAATATGTCAATTGAATGCATTACTGCACCTTTAATACAATCATTCTTGTGAAGACACTTGACAGGGCCTTACTACATTTCAACCCGGACAACGGAGGACCGACTGTAAGTATTCCACACCACCCTGGTCCCAGTCCGACTAATTTATACCACTATGTGGGCCCGGTTGTCAAATTCCATACCATCATGTGGGCCTGGCCTTTAATTCTACATCACCACCCTGGGCCCAGTCGTCACATTCTATACCACGATATGGCCCAGCCATCAATTCCACATGCCCAACCCAGGCCTAATCATCAAGATGCACCCGACCATATTGCCCCGACCGTCAATTTGATGCCACTACCCTAGGCCTGGGTGTTGAATTCTATACTATTATATGGGCCCGGCCGTCCTTTCTACATTACTGCCCTAGGCCTGGTCATCAAATGCTCTCTTCAGATCCACATCACCACCCTGGGCCTGGTCCTCAAATTTTATAACAACATATGGGCCCTGACCGTTGATTCTCTATCACCACACGAGGCCTGGTTGTCAAATTCTGCACTGACATATGGGCCCGACCATCAATGCTACATCATCCCCTGGGCCTGGTCATCATATTTTATACCATTGTATGGGTCCGACCATCAATTCTGTCATTCTACATCATCACCCTGGGCCTGGCCATCGTATTCTATACTATTGTATAGGCCTGGCAGTCAATTCTACATCACCACCCTGGGCCTGGTCATCAAATGCTCCACCGACATATAGGCCCTACTGTCAATTCCTGTCCATCCTACATCACCCCCTGGGCCTGGTTGATATATTTTATACCATTGTATGGGCCCGGCTGTCCATCCTACACAACCACCCGGGGCCCGGTCGTCATATTTTATACCATTGTATGGGCCCAGCTGTCCATCCTACATAACCACCCTAGGCCCGATTGTCAAATGCTCCACTGACATATGGGCCCGACCATCAATTCTACATCACCACCCTGGGCCCGGCTGTCATATTCTATACCACCATATGGGCCCAGCCATCAATTCTATATCACCACACGAGGCCTGGTCATCAAATTCTGCACCGACATATGGGCCCAACCGTCAATTCTACATCATCCCCTGGGCCCGGTCGTCATATTTTACACCATTGTATGGGTCTGACTGTTCATCCTACATCACCACCCTGGGCCCGGCCATCACATTCTATACCACCATATGGGCCCAACCGTCGATTCTATATCACCACACAAGGCCCTGTCATCAAATTCTGCACCGACATATGGGCCCGACTGTTAATTCTACATCACCCCCTGGGCCCAGTTGTCGTATTTTACACCATTGTATGGACCCGACTGTCCATCCTACATAACCTGGTTACCCTGGGCCCGATCATGAAATGCTCCACCGACATATGGGCCCAACTGTCAATTCTATATCACCACACAAAGCCCAGTCAGTCAAATTCTGCACCAACATATGGGCCCAGCCATCATATTCTATACCACCATATGGGCCCAACCATCGATTCTACATCACCACCCTGGGCCGGTCATCAATATCTATCCCACTGTATGGGCCCTCTCAGTTGTTACCCATGGGCCGAGCCATAAATATTGAGACCACTAAACACCATGGGCCCACCCGTCCCTATCGGCCCCATCTTGCACCTGGGCCCACCTTGTATGGCCATGTCACTCAGAAGAATCTCAACTTTGGGTGGCCGTGTAACATGGGCCAAAGTTACTGAAGGGGCTCATATAGTCAACTGAGGTGAGACACTTTCATTAATGGACTATCTACCTAACTAATACTCTCATTCAGTCTATATCTTCAATAGGTTATGAGCCCTGAGCTGGACATTGTTATGACCCACGTTCACCAATAATGATGAAGGAGAGTTCACGACCACTAGGACTCGGTCAAAGATGATGAGAAACAGGATAGATTGAGCAGTAACGTCTAGGTCACTACAACAGTAGGAAACGAAGAAGTTAAGTCTAAGGAGTTCTTATGCTAACTACCCTACTTTTATACATAACATTGAGTAGGAGTCTGAAAGAAATCAGCCAATGAGAAAAGAGTCGTATGATACTGCGGATGAGTAAGTATGACATCATGATATATAAGCGACTGAGTAAGACGGTTACTAAATAGAAACCCAAGATCCAACCGGTTCTTCTTTAGGAAGCGAGATTGTTCTAGCCCGTGGAGTGGGGGAGCCAATCGGAGAAGCAACAGGTGACATATGATGAGATGTCACGTGACCGGCTCGGGTACTGGAAGTAGCCGAAGGAAAACCGAGAAATGAAAAATGGTTCGTATTAGGAATTCGTGACAGACATGCAGCTGGATGGTCACCAACAACGACCACAGAGGTAGCCGAAATGCAAGCTTATGAGACTGCAATCAAAAAGTGGGATGAGAACAATGTCATTGTCAGGCAACAGATAGCAGTATTGGTCCCTGATAGCCTATTCATTCAACTCCTCTCCCTAACCTCCGCAAAGGACTTCTTCAACATGCTGAAGAACCAATTCAAAAGAACTGGTCACTCGCAGTCAGCGTGGAACTCCATCGACAGCTCTGGGAGCTGAAATTAAAAGAAGGTGGTGATGCCTGTGCTCATATCGACATGCTCAGGAAGCTACAAGAAGAGCTCGCTTCCACAGGAGATCCTGTACCAGATAAGGACTTCTTCAACATTACCTTTGCATCACTCCCACGCAGCTATAACAACATCCTATCAGCCATTTCAACAAGTATTTAGCTGCACCAGAAGACACCCACTGTACACAAACTCATGAATCTTGTTATGAACGAGTACGACTGACTGCTCATCCAAAGTGGGACAAAAGGGAAGCTGAAGAGTGAGGACGTAGCTTTCTCAGCCAACAGGACCTCGCATAAGGGCAAGCAGCACCAGCAGAAGTCGAAATTTCCCTACAACTGCAACAATTGTGGCTGGAAAGGCCACAAGAAAGAGGACTGCTGGGAAGAGGGAGGAGGCAAAGCTGGTAAAGCGCCGAAAGGGTGGAAGCCATGGGGGAAGAAGTCAAAATCGAAAGATGACAACAAGCTGAAAGCGAGCGGGTCAAATGCAGATGTGTTGAAGTTGAAGGATAATTCCAAACCCGACGGAGTATGGTTAGTGAGTGCAGAAGACACCTGGGGGGAAGAACCCGAATCTCGGGACATACCATTGATAGCACTCGACAGTGCCAAACTCACACGAAACAACATGAACGCACACGGAACTACTGTTGAGCTTTATGACAGTGGTGCATCACAACACATGTCCCCATATCACGACCACTTTGTTAATTTTAAATCAATTCCCCCACACGCAATCGAAGCTGCCAACAAACATACCTTTGATGCCATAGGCAGAGGTGACCTGCCCATCAAGATCCCTAACGGCAAGAACAAGACTCATATCCTGTTAACAAATGTCCTTTATGCCCCATCAATGGGAGCGACTCTCATTTCAATTAGTAGACTCACCCATGCAGGCTATGCAGCCCTATTTCGTGGTGACTCATGCTGAATCCTTGATGCTAAGAACAAGACACTGGGCAAAGTTACCGTCAGCAGAGGTTTATATCGCATTAAAAATGAACCAACTCCACATGCAGCAGCTACCAATGCACTCAAGGTCCAGTCTATGGAGGACCTACACCGGTGAATGGCCCATATCGCCCCATCAGCTATTCGAGAGATGTTAGTGAAGGGAATGATAGAGGGAGTCAAGCTAGACCCTAACCGTGCTACCATGGGTCAATGCAAGTCTTGTGAATATGCAAAGGCCACACACAAACCAATCGGGAAGGAACATAACCTGAAACGATGCGAAAACCTCGGTGACGAAGTCCACACTGATCTGTGGGGACCCTCTCAAGTCCAAACACCAAGTGGAAAGACATATTATGTGTCATTCACGGACGACCACACTCGCTATATGTGCCTATACCTTCTCGGGTCAAAGTCTGAAACATTCGAAACACACAAGACTTACGAGGCTTGGTTGCAGACTCAGCACAATATCCAAGTCAAACGTTTGCGGTCGGACTGTGGTGGAGAGTATCTAAGCAATGAATTCACTCAACACCTTCAATCACATGGAACAGTGTGCAAACTCACCACTCACAACACCCCACAGCACAATGGAGTTGCTGAAAGGTTGAATCGGACACTAGCCAAACATGTCCGTGCAGTGCTACACTCGAGCGGCCTGCAAAAGAACCTGTGGGGAGAAGGTGTCAAGCATGCCATCTACGTGAAGAACCGAACTGTCATGTGCTCACTAGAGGGGAAAACACCATTTGAGATGTTAAATGGCAGGAAACCAAACTTAGCAGACTTACCTGTCTGGGGCATCAAAGTGTGGGTGCATGACCCAACCAGTTCGAAGCTTGACATGCACACATGTGTGGGTTGATGGATAGGATTTGACGCTGAAAGTGGAGCACACTGGATCTATTTCAAGGACCACTGAAATATCGCCATGGAATGTAATGTCTCATTTGAGAGACAAACAGAGGAAGGCCCAGCATTAATGCCAAACTCACTGATTGAGAGGGAGAGTGAAACTACAAAGACCAATCAGCAAATGACCAATCATCAAGCTCCAATGAATACACACCACAATCCAAATCCCCTACTAAACCCAGAGCCTCAGAATAACCCACTAGGACCAAACTTCGAACAGCCACCAACCGGCCTAAGGCGATATAATCACCAGCAGACAGAATCTCCCTACCTGCGCATGTTGCGAAGTGGTGAGGGTACCCACAATGGCAGAGGAGGTGACCCAGTTATTCCAAGAGGGATGCAGGAAGTAGAGAAAGCGGGAGAGCAAGGTGAGGAGAGCATGGGAGCATATGGAGAAGGGTTAGGAAGTGAGCTGGAATTTGATGAAGAACTTACTGCTTATGCGATGCTCATGGGAATGAGCGAGGCTGAAGGCCTGGAACCCAGAACCATTGAAGATGTGAAGACACGATCTGATTGGTCGAGCTGGAAAAAAGCCATCAATGCGGAACTAAAGAGTCTCAACAAAGCATGCACCTGGGATATCGTTCAGCGGCCAAAGAACAAGAAAATTGTTAGTTCCAAATGGGTCTTCAAGATAAAATGGAATGCTACAGGTGAAATTGATAAGTACAAAGCCCGGCTTGTAGCGCACGGCTTCACTCAAGTGCATGGTGTTAATTATTATGAGACTTATGCACCTGTAGCTCAGCTTGCATCGCTGAGACTGATCCTCGCTATTGCTGCACAGCAGGACTGGGATATTGATGTATTCAATTTCCACAGCATGTTCTTGAATGGCAAATTGGATGCCAACTGAAGAGATCTACATGGAGTTGCCACCAGGAGTGGACTTAGGAGGAAAGGACAAGGTCACAAAGCTTCGAGTTGCATTATACAGATCTAAGCAAGGCGCAATGAAATGGTACCAACATTTATGCAGAGAACTCACCAAGCTAGGGTACAAACGGATGGAAAGTGACTGGGGAGTATTCACTGGCTCACGTCGGGGAGGACCTACTCATCCTAGCATCACACATTGACGACTGCATGGTAACCGGCAGCTCGAAAGAGCTAATCAAGGCATTCAAGGCCAAAATCGCATCACAATTCAAAATAACGGACCTAGGACCTATGTCATGAATTCCAAACACAAATCATTTTTCATTCCTCGGCTTTCCACCAGCTACTTCTAGTTACCAAACCAATCATGTGACTTCACTTCCTGTCACATCATCACCTCTTCACATATCACCAGTTGTTTCTCCAATTGGTTCCCCAATTCCACGGGCTAGAACAATCTCGCTTCCGAAAGAAGTACCGGTCAGATCTTGAGCTTCTATTTAGTCACTGTCTGACTCATTGCTTATATATCATGATGTCATGCTCAGTCATCCGCAGTATCGTATGACTCTTTTCTCATGGGCTGATTTCTTTCATACTCAGATATCTCCTATTCAATGTTATGTATATAAGTAGGTTAGTTAGTGTAAGTACTCCTTAGACTTAACCTCTTCATTTCTACACTTGTAGTAGACTTAGACGTTCACGCTCAATCTATCTTGTTATCATCATCCCTCTTGACCGAGTCCTAGTGTTTGTGTGTTAGTCTTTGCCATTCGGTGAATGCTAGTCATAACAACATATTAGCTGGTTACTCAGAATGAAAGTAACTCGAAACTGTGATGCACGTACCATTTCACTGTCCCAAGAGTCCTTTGTAGACACTATTGTCATGAAGTATAACTTTGCAGATGCTAAACCTGCCACAGTACCTATGGATCCAAGTATTCAGTATACAGGTGATCAATCACCTACCTCGACAGCTCAAAGCGCCGAAATGAAATGAGTACCGTTTCACTCCGCACTTGGATCATTGATGTATCTCGCCATAGGAACACGCCCAGACATAGTGTTTGCCATATTGACCCTCATGCAGTTTGCAGACAGACCAGGGTGGGCACACTGGGAGGGAGTCAAACAAGTATACCATTATCTGTTGGGAACGAGGAAGTTAGGACTCACCTATGGCACAAGCAGTACCAGATTAGTGGGGTATGCAGACACAGATGGCACTAGCCAGGAGCACAGACACGCTATAACTGGCATCGCATTTCTGGTGGATGGAGGTGCAATACTGTGGGGATCACGGAAACAGGAGCTAGTGACACTGTCAACAGCAGAATCAGAGTTCATAGCGGCCACTCATGCAGCCAAGGAGACTCCATCAGCAAAACCCAAATGGGGTATGTGGCACTGCACATAGCCACACAGTGACACAGGGTTCACAGAGAAGTCCCCCCATGTGCAGCCGAGCCACAGTGTGTGCTTCGAATGTGTCATGCTGTGCAGTTCGGCACAGCTACTGCTGGACCATACAACCCTGCACAACACTGTAGCACTGTGTGATGCTGTAGTGCTGTATGACACTGCGTAGTACAAACCTGCTATGTAGTGTTATACAGCGGCATATGGTGTTTTGTAGCAGTACTTTTAATATAGCAATTATTCATGTGGATTAATACCAGTCAATGATGATTCTATTTAAACGATGCTGCAAAACATAGTAGTAGTAGTAGTGCTAGTAAGTATATAAAACTAATCCAAATCAACGTCCCACTCAGAACAGCCTTTGTCACCTTCGTTAGTACCAAGGCCAGCACCATGTGCATTCCTAACTCGATGGTCAATATACTGCTACTTTTGTCGAAAATCATGCGGAAAGACTTACATGCCTTCCAATGCCCAAGCTTTGAGCATTTGACGTAGTTTCAGTCCATGATACTCATGTCTGTTCGTGCGGTTGAACAATGTCGAAATGCGGTCATAGGTAGTCTCTGAATCCTTGATGGGTGTCTGCTTGGTGCCATTTACCTGGCCATATTTGCTGTAGATATAAATCACGTTATGAATCTTAGTAGGAATCAGTAAACGCGCTGTGAGTGAGCATGCTACAGGAAGACTCACGATAGTCCCAACGAGGAAGAGCGCTGGGGGCGGAATAGTCTTCTGAAATTTGGTGAAATGTTTGAGTGATTTGGAACCGTTGTCATAAAATGACCTATGGCAAACAATGTGGACTGCAACATTCGCAAAGTTAGATGCACAACCCTACTAAATATTTAGAATTGATTATCAAACATGACTATGAACATACCTCAGCATCAGGATGGCCGCGCAAATACATTGCTTTCTTTAGCAAAGCGGTTGCCTTGAGTTTGACACTGTCAATTGTGTTCCTGCCGATGCCAAGTGCTAGATCATATGTCATCGGAACGACGGTAAGCACGATCTGCTTGATCTTGCTGCGGAATGTCGCGGCGTCATTGAAAACCTGGATCCGCACAACTTAGTGACATATGTGAGAACAACTCAGAGTACCCACCATGGTAGCCATCCCCATTTTGAACTCAGGGTAGAAATCTTTGTAGGCGTGTCAGTGGGTAGTAAGATTGTAGTTAGAGAAGGGGAAATACCTTTCTCAAGCTTGCGTTTCTGCTCTTTCCATTGTACAATTGCTTCTGCAATCATTTCACTGCAGACTCCGGTATGACCAATGGACTCCTCTTTGTCAGGAAATGGGATGGAAATAGCGAGATGAAGTCTGAAATTAGCCTTTGCGCGGTCTAGAAGTTTTTGCCAGAGTGGTGGGTAGAACCTGACATTAGTTGCATCACGATTAGTAGCAGTACCCTTTGTTTTCTTGGTGTGGCGGCACTTCCCAGTATTCTCGACCTCATCAAGATCTTCCAAGTCGTCCTGCTGGTCATCGGGGTCATCACTTGACAGGGAGTTGCTCGTGCAAGCACACTTAGTCTTTGGGCAGCGACTTTGTACACTGTTCAAATATGATGGGGATGGAGAATGTGGCCGCCGGTTTGTCGTGTGGTGAGCCTGGAGGACATCATAATCGATATTAGGCTGAAAAAGGTGTCAATACACATTGACAAAATGGGTGAGTGCTTACAACTACTGCTGGAGCGCCCAAATGACCTGGAGCTCGTTGGTTAGTGCTCTGCAGGATCGCTTGCATTGGCGCCTGGGCTACGTTGATGTTCTGGTCTCTACCCTTCCTGCTAGTGGTGCGATTGTTCCGATGATCACGGTCCATGTCGGACACTCCCGTGTCATCATAATCCTCATCCTGCGAATGTGCACATCGATCAGGTACTTGCGCAGGGTGTCTGACTTGGTTGTTGCTAGGGTAGGTTTGATTATCATGGTCTGAGGGGTCTGGCATGATGTCATCACTCCCGTGAACATCCTGCTCCGAGTTGTAGTCCATAATGTCATTATCGATGTCATCTCCTGCAAAATCTCCATCCTCGTTAGACACGTCATCCTCTTCAACGTCCACTTCTTCATCATGATCCGCCTCTTCGTTACCTTCTTCAGTTCCATCAACAAACATGTTCTGGCTAGTGGAACCAAAAGCGGGAGGAGTATGAGAAACGGTGCGATGGGGTGTTATGGTGGTCAATGGCTCACGCTGAACGGCGGAGTTGATGGGAATAGATGAGCGTGAGCGTTGGTCGCTGACAGACCGAGGAACTTTGTGAGAAACAGTACGAGTGTTGACAGACTGAGGGGCGTCACAAGAAACAACGGGGTGCTGGATGGCTGGAATTCTGATTCCATCAGCCTGAGTGTCATGAAGAGAGGTGCCATGAGAGACACTGCGAGAAGCACCACAAGAGGTGCCACGAGAAGCACCGCAAGAAGCACCGCAAGAAGCACCGCGAGAAGCACCACAAGAAGCACCACAAGAAGCACCCTGAGAGGTACTGCGATCATGGACATAGGGCTGGGCAGGGGGTGTCATTGAGTCAGGATGAAGTTCTGTTTGATGGGGCTGGAGTGGTTTGGAACTGACATATGCTGAGGGAATTGGACGATCCTGAAATCCAAACCTTCCTTGGTCCGTGACGTGTAGAGCAGGTGTGGGACCTGTGGCAGTGGGGCCTGACTTGGATGCCTCCTGCTGAATACTAGATATTAGTGCTGAGAAATGAACCAGACCAGGAAGGTACTTACTATCGCACTCAAGTTCCTCTCAAGCTGGCGAGGTGCCGCTTTTCCTCTCCCCTTCTTCTTTGTCACTAGTGGAGCCATCACATTTTCGGGCTCATCAACGGGAACAATGACACTCCGAACCTTCGATTTGCTACTGGGTGCTCTGGCTGGAGTTTGGATGGCATTCCCGATCTTCTCTAGCTGGGAATTTCTTCCTCCAGTGCCAGCGCCAGGTCGGTTTGTACGGTGACAGGGAGCCTGAGGTTGGACTGATGTCGCTGGTTCATCGTCGTCGATGCCATCTGATTCGACAACTCGTTGCTTTTTCCGTCGACCCACTGGCATGGTAGCACACAACTAGACAAATGACAGAGAAATCGAACCTGCAAATCGAAGTTAAACGTGGCTGTACGATGGTTAATTACTAAGTAGTACATAGTGGTATCCGAGTCCGAGTCGTACCAGCATGTTAACATTACGTACCAAATTGCCAATCTAGTAGTACACTTCAGCGGCTGACTCGGATGTAGTACTAGTAGTTACCTCCATCCCTAGTACTCCCTACTCAATGACAGCCCACTGCCCTAACTGTTTAAAACAATTTAAGAGTGCTCAGGTGGTTTCACGACACCTGAGCCAGCCCCTTACATCCTGCCTACGATGGATCGATCAGCTTGAGAGTGCAGCGCAAATTCTGCAAAACTCACAGTTGATGGACCCTCGTCATTCTAGAACACCAAGTCCTTTTCAAGATTCCCTAACGGATTTTCAAGTTCAAGTTGACAGTGGGGAAAAGGTGGATGCTCACTGCAGCATGAGTGACTCAGGCTATTCCTATGGCGATGACGGAGGCACGGTGGGCTTGGAGAACGACCTGCCAGGGTCCATTGAAGAGCCTTTGGGCAGCCAAGCTTCGGAGAAGCCTTACATCGAGCACTTCAGGGATGCCGCGAAGGTATATCGGTGCGGCCAGACCTTTCTAGATAGGTTTAACATGGATCCCTATGCAGTACATCGCAAAGACAATTTGTACTATCCATTCATGTCCCGTCAGGATTGGGAGCTCGGCAGTGTTCTCCTGTGCTCGTCATTAAGTATGGCAGCCATGGACGAGTTCCTGGGGCTGAAACTAGTATGTCTTGAGTTAGCGCTCGTGTTGCTGTCACAAGTGCTGATTTCTTCTAAGGTTAAAGCATTGCCCCTCTCCTTTCGTACCACCAAGGAGTTACATGGGCGTTCTGAGCTGCTGCCTTCTGTTCCGAAGTGGCAGTACCACATCATCTCGACGACTCACCCAACAAAGAAACCTCTACATCTTTACTGGCGCGATCCATTAGATTGCATCGAATCGCTTTTTAGCCACCCGCTCTTTGCAAACAAAATAGATCTCACACCTCAACGTGTTTATGATACAGTGGAATGTACAGCACGAATTTACAGCAAATGGGTAACGGGGGACACAGCATGGTCAATGCAGGTATGTACTCTACAGTATCAACGATCTCCAAGCTCGTCTTGCTAACTCTCACACCCTGTCATAGTCACAACTTCCGGATGGTGCAACATTGTTAGGCATCATCCTTTCCTCCGATAAAACCAACATTACCAACATGACTGGTGGACGTGTTGCTCACCCGCTCCTGATCAGCCTTGCCAATATCAAGATGGCGACTCGAAATAAGGCATCCTCACATGCTTTCCTCCTGACAGCACTGCTTCCAATTGCTGAATTTTTGCATCCGGTGAAGCGGATGCAGAGTGTTCTTGAAGCCCGCTTGGTCCACCAATGTCTAGATATTGTGCTGGAGCCACTCAAGCAAGCTACACGCATCGGGCAGATGATGTCAGACCCGCTTGGGAACCTCAGATATTGTTTTACCCCCTTAGCCTCGTACATTGTTGATACACCCAAGGCATGCATGCTCACATGTGTTCGAGGAAAGACCTAGCTGGTAACTATGGCTATGTACGAAAATTTCAGAGACGCCTTCCAACACCCCCCTCAAACAGCTAAAACGACTCTCAGCCAGCTTTCAAGCATCAATTGTGATCCTCTTGACGTTGAAGGCTACTTCAATGCATGTGCCGCCTTCCGCCTGAGTGGTGTGGCCCAGCCATTCTGGCGCAATCGGCCACTTGCAGATCCATATCTGTTTTTGACTCCAGAATCCCTGCATCACTGGCACCGTGAGTGCTATGATCACAATGTTAAGTGGTGTCTTGCAGCTGTTGGTGAGCAGGAACTAGACTTTCGCTTCTCCATTTTACAACCACTCATGACGTTCCGACGCTTCAATGGCGGTATTTCAAATCTTAAACAAGTCACTGGAAGAGCCCAGTGCGACATGCAACGTTATATTGTTGCTCTCATTGCAGATGCAGCCCCCCATGGCGTTGTCATAGCTATTTGTGCGCTGATGGATTTTCGCTACTTATCACAGGCGACAACGATCAATCAAGAACATTGTCAAAAGATTCTTGGCGCCCTCACGGAATTCCATGAGATATAATCGCTTGCAGTGCACATCGAGGTTCCAAGAGCAAATAGGTCCTCGACAACTGGCATATACCTAAACTGGAGTTGATGCAGAGTGTCATGCCCAGTATACGTCAAGTCGGTTCTCTCTTGCAGTGGTCTGCCGACACCACCGAGCATGCTCACATCACCCTTATCAAGGATCCTGCAGATTCCACCAACAACATCAATTATGATGCTCAAATATGCCGGTTTCTTGATCGCCAAGAAAAGTGTCGAAACTTTCAGATCACAACATCGATAATCGCTCAGTCAGAGTCAGAGTCACAACTTGAAGCCTCTGCTTCTTCATCTCGAATGATGGATGATGATTCTGAACATCATGACTCAGATGAAGGTCCACTGGCATATATTGATGAAGCTCATTTGCAGACAGTTTCAGATGATCTCTGGGGGCCGAAGCGTGTTGTGACCAATTTTTTCAGAAAGGCAGAGCAAGTCTCTTTGGACATCCAAGGAGCCAGACCTCTCCGCACATTTGTGGTCGGTGCAACAGCAATTCACCTCAATTTTGATCCTTCCATACGACACATACCAGTCGATGTCATTGCTGAAAAACTATCTCTACCCGACTTGCAGGGAGCACTCGCTGACTATATTCAACGAGAGGGTACTACGGCTCAGAAATTCCACTTGCTGGGGGGACAACGCCGAGCACCGTCCGATGCACCTCTTCCATTTGACGACCTTATGGTCTGGTTCAAAGTGCATGTGCAGCAGGCATCATACCATACCCCGTCGATCATTCCTCCTGCTCTCACGGTCAATGCATCTCCCCTGAGTGCAACTTGGAAGCATGGCCACTACGATGCTGCTATTTTCGTCGTTGATGACACCAGACATGAACAATGGCCCACTAGTGGGCTTAAAGGTACATTTTTCAAATGTTCATTTGTATATTATGTCCGAATTGACGTCTGAGCAACTTGCAGGCCATGCTGTTGTTGAGGTGCACCTTATCATGCAACCACTTCCTCCACGGGGAACTAGTAGTAGTGCCTCTTGGGCTGCGCATTTCCTTATGTATGTTCAACGGTTGGATGTCATGCCTCAGCAACATGGCAAATTACTAGAACACACAATGCAAATGCATGTTTTAAAGTGTGCAATGCGATCAGCAGGGACTCCTTTTGGTGACATCCTCCCACTAGATCAACTTCGTTCTCTGGCTCACATTATCCCCCACTTTGGCCATGTTGCCGATTCATGTCTAACAGCGGAAAATAGTGCTCATTTTGCTCAGACGTTCTTCTTGAACAAATACATTGACAAGGACTTCTACTATGCTATCTCAAACTCCGAGCCGTAGTAGTACTAGTACTAGTTTTTTCAATCATGTTAAAGTAATATATTGATGGTTCAAGAGCTCTATTTACTTGGTGTATGGCACTATATATCACTATATGTTACTGTAGCATCATGAAATGTACGCTATCCTGCAAGGATCCACTGTGTAGCGATGTACAGCACTACCTCAGCACGTGGCTTTCAGCTGACTAAATCCGAATGTCAGTGGGGCAGGCCCTGATTGGCAGGCCACTGGTTGTTGTCATCATACCTCTCTCTCAATGCCTGTCACCAGCACAATCATGGCTCTTCCAGTTATGTATTCTAAGTTCTCACAGAGTTCCAAGTCTTGGCTCCCAAAATCACCATCACACAACTTGATCCCTTCTCCTCCATGTGTAGTACAACAAGAACAAGTCGAAAAACCCCCATCTTCCTTGCACCATCATGTTCCAACAGACACAGAACTTTATGACAAGCAAGTTCTTGAAGACCTCAAGACAGCAATAAAGACAAGACTCCACATTCAATTTACAGACTCGGATAATCAAGATTCTTTAAGCTTAGGTTAGTATTTCTCAGATCGCTTATCACCTACCAATCTTCTTCCTAACCATTCATCATCACAAAGACCACTGTGCAGTCGTCCTTGAAGCCCTTCAACATCCTCAAGCCAATACAATTGTAGGCTGATTATTACTTGTCATAGATTAATCTTTACCATGATCTGAGGTCATCGCCGATATTATGCCTGCAGAATATGCAGCAGTGGTAGCATTTATGTCGGAAGAGCGAGATTTCGAAGTCAGAGCAAAGTGAACCTCAGAGTAGTAATTGAGTCGTAATAATACACTGACCACATCCCATCTCTTACTACAGATTTGTCTACTTTGCGGATACTCAAGATCTACATATCATGCCCCCACTTCCCATCCACGAACAACCAGCTGCACACCTTGCAAAGGCCATCAACAAGTTCACGGAAGCCATCCCTTACGACAAACTCCTGATCGACATCACTATGCACCTCAATCACCGTATCCAAAACAAGGACTCCACGAACATTCCAGACCTACACCTTACCATCACAGCACAACCACCGGAGGATATGGAGTCAGATGAGATGGCGGTAGCAAAGCTGGTTTCCAAATGGGTTGGAGAATGTGGGCTTTCCTTGGATATGAACTGCATGGTGCGCAAGCTCAGCATCACATGTGAAGGTCATCGAGACATCGATTACACTCTCGTCATATCCTTCAAAGAGTGAGCCAAATGGCAACAGCCTAAAGAAGACAACATCACTGCCCAACAACTTCGCTCGGCTCCTGCATTGAATTATGAGGAGTTCATCCCTCCCCGCATCAAGAAGAGCTTGAGGTTTGGACCAGTGGAGCTCAAGTCTCATATCTGGATCAATATCTCCGAGGTCCGGTACACCGTGTATAAGCGTGGCACAGACGGTCACTTTGATTTTAACAACAAGAACGCTGCTACATTCGCAGAGGGGGTGCGTGTATATTCATCTTATTAGTAGTACTACTTTCTGATCTCAACTCGCCCCCTGCAGACCCTTTACCCTACGTTGCAGATGGATGACATTGAACAGATGTTGAGTGACGCTGCTGAGAATTTGAAGAGGTATATCATATCGTTGATGGAGGGTATGGCGCTTGAGGAGGCTGCAATTCAGAGCGCGCGTGATTCCCATCCCCTTTTCAAGCCTGTTTGGATGGCAGCTCTCAACTCTATCTCTTCCATGATATACCTCACAGCTTACTGCCACTACTTGGATTGGCGCAACCACAAATACGACAAGCAAAAGACAACGCATGTTGAGGTTCAATCCTCAGACTCCAGCACCCAACCGACAAGTACTTCATTCTCGTTGATTCCGACGACTTCCTCATCTGGTGCAATGACTTCCTCATCCGATGCGACGGTCTCATCCTCTGCTGGGTTATTGCTTGATGTGCAGCCGGAGCGCTCAGCAAAGAAGTCGAAGATCCAGCCTGAGGGGGGCTGTGGGGAGTCTAAGGCGAAACCAAAGAAGACTCCGAGTCGGAGGGCGAATGGGAAGGGGAAGGGGAAGGGTCGTCAGTAGGCTCTTGCCGTGTCGATTTTTGAGGTGAGTGTCTGTTGTTAGACTTGGTTTCCTCCAACACTGACAATTTACATGATCGGTACAAGTACTTAGTTCCATCTTCGCTTGTTCTGTTGCGCTGCTCTTCAAGTTTGAATTCGCAATCTTGTTTATCTCAGGCTCCTCGTTGTTGTCATCCATGTTGCATTTGTTCTTGTACTTCTAGGACTGCACGAAACATACTACTACTCATCTAGATACCACACGCGTAGTACTATGATTGTTTCTCGCTGAATGTACCATGATATTCGTGTACTATCACGTATGCCTAATTTGTCACATCACGTTTAACCACTGAGTCAGCGTGACTCATGAAAATTTGTTAACAACACAACTTGAAAGAGTCTTGAATGTCCTCCAGTGCCCAACTTGTGACAGCCTTGTCTCTTAGAGGGATTTCACTCGATCGAAGACACTCGCATCATGATGAATCCCAGACCCATCCAGCACAACTTGAAGCAATTCACGGAACGCTTGCGCTGGTACCAGGACCTCCCCCTAAGGTCTCCAACATGAACACAGATGGACAAGTCGTGAACAGCACGTCATCCATTCAATCGCACCCATCGACCATTCACCACACCCCGTCCTTGTCCATCTATCAGGCTCAGGCTCAACATACATCTACTACTACTATGCAAAGCATCTCGCACCCTACTAGTAACTGGAAGCGTGTTGGAACTCCCAGGGCTATTGGTGCTCTGTGCAACCGATCCCCTGCATTATTGCATCACTTGACCACGCCAATTGTTGCACGTTCTGCTACTAGTAGGTTGAACATGGACAAAAAACTCCCATCACCTATATTCCCGATAACAACGGAGCCAGGCTCCGACTGCGAAGACAGCGATAATGTAAGTTCAACGGTACCCATACATGCTCAGGATCGAAATGATAATGTTGCCCAGGAATCTACTAACTCCAATGACACCCAGGCTAGCGAGGAATTCAAGGCCCAGCTTGTTTTGAATGTGACCCGAGCACAGTGAGATGTTCGCCTGGTGGAGAAGACGCTCGCAGACTCTGTTCTCAAGCAGAATGTCGCACTTGGGAAACTCTACGAGTTCGAGGCCACAGAAGCTGAGAGGAAATTGGAGGATGCTGATATCGACATTGGTTATGTACGCCATTTGGTCTGCAAAGTGGGATCACATTGTTGGAGGACTTTGCTACTAGTAAACCTCGAAAACGCCGTCACAGATCTACTAGTCACGTTGATAGTGATACGCTCAGCCCGGAAGTAGATTTAGCTCACTCACCACCACTGGCAGGTAATTGTACTCTGTTCAACTCGTTCGACCACTTCTACTACTGACACTTTTATCCACAGGATCTCCGAGCGCAACTCCGAGTCAAACACTCGATTATGATGTGGCATCCGATTCTTTGGGCTTCAAGTTGTGAAGCCTGCTTAATACTAGTACTAGTAGCCAGATCTATACTGTTCCTATTCCATGTCCCATCTACTACTAGTATTGTACATACTTTGAATCAATGTTTGTAAATGCCGGCTTTAAAAGTTGCTCTTCCTTCAAGTTTAAACTTAGACTCAGAGGTCACGTGTCACAACCAAGAGCTGGTACCAACTTCTCGAGTCGCTCGCTGTAGCGCGATGTGTGGTGCTATGTCGCGCTGTAGAAAATTTATATATACCGTCGTCAATCGCTACACATTGCTACAGAAGTCTGCACCTGCTGTAATATGCTGTAAGCCGCCACGGTAACTGTGCTAAATTTAGTGTTTTGCTGATGTCAATGGCTCCGCCGTTTCATCAGAGAAGTTTTTCAACCGTTGCAGCACCCCACGACGCTATACAGTGATAATCAATCAGCAATTGCGCTTATGAAAGACGGAAGCTATCACGCATGCACCAAACACATCGACATCCGCTACCATTACATCTGCTTCTGCGTCAAGGATGGTTCAATCCAACTGCTGTACTGCCCTACGGAGAATATGGCCGCTGACACGCTAACGAAGGCCCTTCCGAGTGTCAAGGCAAAGCATTTTGCAAACGAGCTTGGTCTTCGAGTCGTCGTTTGAGAGGGAGTGTTGGAAGTTACAAACGACGATAACGATTATCGTCACATGTGACTTACCTACTTACATAATCATGCTCGTTTTATTCTCGGTCTTCGTACTCAACGCACCTCAGTTGCTCGTATAGTCAACTGAGGTGAGACACTTTCATTAATGGACTATCTACCTAACTAATACTCTCATTCAGTCTATATCTTCAATAATCCTCCCCCCAGGCGTAGGCATTACCGATATTGTAGATGCAGCCAAGGCCCAAGCGTGCACCGCCTGGCATGCTATACCATTCCAGTGGTCCCATCTGTACGAGTCCTCCCAATTTTAAAACTTCCTGTTCGCTAACCAGTTCTGGACCGCTTCCCAGTTATCGACCCATATGGTTCTCCTCAAAGGGTACTCACGCAGGCGATGTTAGATCATCACGCTGCACCGTCACTTCCAAGCTCTGCTGAAATCGAGATGGAGAAGTACTATGAGGAGGAGTGCAAGAAAGGCGGTCATTCCGAGGTGTGTGGGTGGATCTGATGAGGTTGATTCATAAACTGATCGGGTATTTGAGTAAGGTTCTTCACTGTACATAAGTATGTACACACACGCATACATCACATTCCTGTCGTTCGCAGCACCAGCAAGCTACTTAGCACATGAAGTTCACGTCATTATCACGTGATTTCTTCATTTCTCCAGGGTATGCTTGTAAACACTACGCAAAAACGATACTGAGCTGTCACAGAACATATTTGGTCAGATTCACCGCGGCCAGAGGTGATGATTGTACATCATAGCATCATTATGAACGGACGCAACTCTTTTGCGTCACCACAACGTTGCATCACGACTGTCAGGTCTTTTCCTGGAATACCCAAGCAAGTGTACTTAATATGTACTACACCGCAGGGGAGGAAGCAAAAGGAAAAGGTTGTCTGACTATCAGAAGGTTTGTGCCAATTTCTTCACTTCCATGAACCGCCAGACGACGCTTTGTCTTGCCGTTTGTATTTGTTTTCTTCAAGTACACAGTTGCGCATGCTGATCACTCCATCGTGCGCAACACGCCAATTCATTTTGAACACGAGGTTTCAATACCAAGTTTGATGTTTTCCTCTAGGAATTCGCCGAATGATATTAACGCCCTCGAGGAGTCAATGTGTTGGCCATGCCTCCAAGGTCAAGGGTATTTAATTTTGATAGGTCCAATCCCTTTCGCACAACCTCAAGTCTTGCACCCCACTTCGCTCACAGCGATACAAATCTTCGACGACAAGTGATGCGCGAAGACCATAGGCCAGATCCTCCCCCAGAAGCCTGCAGATCCGGCGGAGCGATCGCTCGTCAGAGCTCTGTACGTGGCCGTCACTCATGGCATCACTTTCGCTGAAACGCTCATAGAATTTATTGCTGCTTCTCACGTGTTATGCTTCATCCCTGTAGCGAATTCTGGCAGTCCCTGCGGAAAGTTACTTACGTGATTGCGATTTTTCCAACATCAGAACAAATAGATATCGAATAAATATACCCTAGCACTAACACGAGAATGCTATTGCCTAAAGGTGGCCTATTACACAAACACAAATGTATAAAGTGCATGACAAGTACCACGAGCAAGAACTACAGGTGTGGTACAAAACTAGTCCACGACACCGTCTTGTATGCGTCAGGAGGAAGATTGCGTAAAGTGGTGAACATGAGTACGAAGAGGATAGAACGCGATGTGATGTACAATGTGGGACACGCCATGGTAAACATAAATCTCGCCACTTTGTCAATTTTGCCAGCTGTCGGTATAAACTTGAAGAGGACGGCCACCACGAAAGCAAGCAAGGGTGCGACAATTATAGTGACAGCACACACGCGCCATATGACCTCCTCCTCGTATGTGGGGAAGACATAGAACCAAGCAGTACAATGGATGCCGCCAAAGAGGGTTGACACGGTAATTCCAGTGAACGTAAGAAGATTACCTTCCCAACGTTTTAGGTTGATGTTGTGCATATTATCATATGTTGGAACTCGTAACTTTCGAGGGGACATGGCATCAACGCCAAAGACGAGCAGGATTGAGTTGATGAGTGAAGCAACTACCCTCTCAGAATGCACCGCCCCAAGGTCATCATTTTCAGAGACACTAAGGGGAACACAATCAGCAGTGGTAGAATTGATTGAGGCACAGACGTACTCATCAAAATAGTCATCTGCCGGTTTGGGCTCGGACGACTTCCAGTAGACTGGATGAGAACATTGTATGTCGAGAGGCTTATTCCACCATACAGCATAGGTAATGAAATTGAGAACCGCAAAAGCGAGTGTCGCCGCCTCGATCTGTGTAGTCTCGAGGTGATAAATGGCACGAGAAATGAGCTGCATAATAAACCAAGACACCTGAAGGATGACCAATCCTTTCGATATCATATTCCCTTTGCTACGGTCGCGGATCTCCTTTACCGTCAGGGTAGGGAAATCGATAGATCCAGCACGTATCAGTCGGAGAAGTTGGTGGGGCAATAGTATATGGTAGGGCTCCCCGTCCACATAAAGCATGAAACCGCCCATCAGCGCAAAGAAGCTGTGAGTCTCAGTCCATTCGTAATCTAAAGATGTACATGAGCAAGATTTCAGGTATGGTTTGAGAGAGCACAAGTCAATCTTACTTTCGGATTGCTCTGAAACACAGTAGACCTTAAACCACTCCTTGGATGACTCCGCAAGAGTATGGTTTCCCTCACATACTGAATTGGAGTACTATGAACTGCCGAAGAAACACTAGTCCAGATGGTTCACCTTTAGTATGCGCCACGAGAGCCTGAGTCACCGTGCCGGCATGACCTTAAGAAGCAGCAAGCTATAAGAACCATGTTCAGAACAACGTGTTAAAGAGACTCACCTTCAGACCGCTCTTGGGGATGATAGCAAACACTGAGATGTGACTCTTTAACCTGTGCTGTAATTTGACGAGCCCAGAGCCACTGGCGCATAGCCCATCCAACGAGCAGGTCAGGAGCAAGTAGTGCGATTACCATGGTACCAACCCGCCGCAAAAAAATACGAATGGAGCTGTCCTCAGGGCTCGGAATGTTGAGGTGAATGGCACTGTAAATGCATGCGAGCAGAGTCAAAGCACACGTAGAGATGATGCCCCATAGGGTTCGTTGGTTTGCACATGCTGACGATTCAGAGGACCACAGGGACTCAGGACTATCACTGGTATTAGTAGTAGGTGCAGCTTGGATCACTCGAACAAGGCAGAGAATGCAGAGAAGTAAGCGCATTGTTCAATGGCGGTTTTGGGGAGGAGGTTTCAAGATGTTGTATATCAAACATCTTGAACGTTCACTATTAGTACTCCGTACCTCATGGGAGTGCACCTATAAGTACTATCCTAATAAGATACAACTCTCCTTCCTTGTCACAGACTAGTGGATAATTTACCAGACACCTCGATTAATTTGGCATCATTCTACTCATTCTGGGGCTGTCCATGATGGATAATGTTCGGCACCTTCCTACCCTTTCATACCCTCTTCCGCTACACCACACCTCTTGTTTTAGCTTTGAATTCTTCCGCACCTTCCGCTTCTCCACGATCCGGATCTCATCACCCCGTCAAAGAATACCTACACACCGTGTGCCCTGGACCTTCGGGATCCCATCAAGCGCCGCTAGTTTCTGCACCACGTGGTGCCTCTGGTGCCTGCTGCCCTTTGCACTGTCGAGACTAGGAGGAACAACATATTCAAGGCTCTGGCACGTATGTCCGATGGACCTGTATGTGCATTTATACCACGGCACTGAATGCACAAGACCATCATGGAAAGTGCCGTAGCATTCGTGCGAAATACTAGGGCATTGTTGGCTTCCCTGACTCCTCAGCGCTCAGCGCTCTTTTGGGTTCGAACCGTGATTCTGGACCGAACCACGGCAGCACTAGAACTTCACGCATACTGACAAGGACCTCGGAGATTCAGCACTATCACTGGTATTAGTCAGTGCGGCTTGGATTACTCGAACCAGGTAGAGGGAAGTAAGCGCATTGTTGGATGTCTCTTGGACGCGTGCTACACCCGCCTTCGACGGGAGACTGTGCCATTTGGGCAGTAGGTAAACTCTGACATTCACTCATTCTTCCAACTCGCCGTCTTACTACAGTTTTAATGCATCACTACCACATAGGGGCATATAGGGTGCTCACCATTCATAAGTATGGCGAGTCGAGAAGCGCGGGAGAGCTTCCGAAGAGTAAGGCCTGTGAGATGAAAATGAAAATTCAAATGTGGCAGAGCCCGCTACGGGACGATGCATATACCGTCACACCAGCAACGTAGCAGCGCGACGCGGACAAGCCAACATGCTTACAGCAGATGCATCAGAGAACAGTAGGTTAGACACCTCAGTCGGTGCCAATAAGGGGTCTTTCGGACCCGGTTTCTATATTATGGGAAACTGAGTTGAGAGACCCTTCATCCATCAGGCCTCGACTAACAGCATCTTCTGCTTCATTGTCCTCCTCTTGCACACCTCGTTGCCCTCCTTCTATGAGCCTCGTTGTGATCTCTGCATCTTTGAAATGACTCGTCCGCACCTCATTGCCCTGATGGGCTCCAGTGGTTGAATTTGCCTATTTTTGATGGCGTGGCCGCTGGGCTTGTTAGGCTGTGTGTACAGAAGTTCAGTGGTACCACCTCCTATAGTAAGTGGCCCTTCCGCAGAAATTCATTGGTATGAGCATTGAATGCTTTCCTCTGTGTACTTACTCGCACAGCTCACAGTAGGGACTGATTAGCATCACGAAAGAAACTCACCATCGCGACTCGTCTACAAAAAAAATTGTCCAGCTCGAGGTTTCGTGCTACAGTTGTTTTACCGACACCATTGGAACCTGTTATCATGAGGTGCGTGCCTGGCTTGAGGGTTGGGGTGAGTGCGCGGACGAGTATGGTGAGAGGGTGGTTGAGTCCGCATTTGTATCTTTGTTGGGATGGGTATGAGGTCTGAGTCTGGGATGAGCCAGAGGTCTGAATTTGCGACAGGTTTTGTGGTGGTGTTGGTAATGGGATGGGAGGAGGATTTACGTGAGGCAAATCGAGCTGGGGCGGCGTAGACACAGAGATATTCAGGAACGCCTACGTCGATGTCTTTGAGCGAAAAGGTTTGTTATTCTCAGAATGAGATCCGTCGACGCACAATGAATATACACAGGCCACTCACCGGCCAGTCAATCCAGCAACCTCTTGCAAATCTTTATTCCCGCTAACTTAGTTAGTGGGTTTTACAGGGTGAACTGGATTTCCACTAATTTTTCACTTTTATTGAATCGGGGTCGAAAATCTCATTTGCGGTGCTGTGGCGGTGTCCTCGACCTTTCTCAGCTTCCCTAGTAAAGGTGCGATCAATCGATGCACAAATAAAGACCATGTTGGTGTTTCGCCCTCCTTTCATGCTCAACGCTTTATCCTCGCCATGCAATCGTTCATCGGTCGCTTCCCGGTTTCAGTGTCTTTCGATGGCACGCTTTTGAATACCCTAGTGTCAGTGGGCGTTGGTATTTCATTTGGCTGTCCGGCCGTCGGTTCTACGTTCACGGCTGTTCTGACAACAACCTATGAGGGACGGCCCCTAAGCACTGACGTGTTATTCGAGGTGGCCGCGGTGCTGCACGATGATGTGGTCGTCGGTTCAGATTGGTTAGCTGCTTGGAGACAAGCAGGCCGTTTTGATCGTCAAGTGGCACGGCATTCCTCACGGCTCCCGGAAGTCGGTGAGTCTTCAAGATCCAAAAGGATATTCGCATACGCTGACTTCTTTAGAATTCTCGCCTCAGTTAGAGTCCTCTGCAGCCCTTGAAGTTTATCCTCATTCGGGAGGTGTTTTAAACCATTCGTCCCACGACAGGATTGTGCATGAATTTCGTTCTTGTTCTCCATCTTTGCTTTCTGCGAATGCAGGTGCTATTGAAAGTTCTTCAGAGGCGGGCGTGGTTTTGGCTTCGCGTGCTCATTCAGAGTCCATTCTGCGTGATGTTGTTGTTCTGGGCTCCCGTATTTTGGGAGTGCGTGCTTCGATTTTTGCTCCTGATTATTCTTCTTTGCATCATCAATGTAACCTTCATGGTTTGGAATGCGCACTACCTTCTCGTATTTCCACTTTATGGGGCCTGTTAGTCATTCACATTCTCGTGGGTGAGTGTGCGACAGGCGAACATCAACCTGGTCATGTGGACGATATCGCGTGTCAACATATTCGTTCAGGGTTTCTGTTAGCACATGAAATCACTGCCTACGTTATTGTCAAACTGCTAACAGCTCCACCTGATGTTATGACGGTTGATAAGCTGTACGCGGTAACCGATGCTACTGGCCTTGAAGAAGCCCATACTTCCAGTTCGCTGCGTCGGTCTCGACACAAGTCGGTTAGTATCATCGAGACAAAGCACTTCATGCTCGCACTTCGAAAACAATATTGACTCTTTTTACTAGTTCCGAGCGTCTCTCAAGAGGCGCGTTGCAAGCTATTGCTCTGTGCCACTCGTTGTCTTCAGAAGGGAATCACGATGTGTTGTTGGATAGGATTTTGGATCATGTGTCGAAAGGTCTGTGTGTCATGCACACAGAAAATGCCAGAGGTACTTGCAAAGACGTCGTTGCTCAACATTGTGATCCTTCGTTAACTAGCAATCCTTCAAAAGATGGTGACTCCGGCCAAGATGTGATTTACCAGGCGCAGTTGACCTTGTTGGAATTTGCGCAGAAGAACAGTACGCGGAAATCTCTGATTCGCTTGTTACATGTTCATAGCACTGAATTTGATCTGGATGATAGCCTGGGTCAAGGATCACTCCGAGATGCAATCAGAAGACGACCATGGAGGTATTGATCCAGACACTGATGAGGAAAAAGACCTTCATAAGAAGCCTGCAAAAGTCAAGGGTAAGCGAAACATCAGCAAATCCCCGAGTTCCTTCTCGTCCCTTATATTACTTAAGTTATTGATATTGTGGGTCTCGGAGGAGGTATGTCTTACCTTGCCCTACGTGCCGCATTACGTTGCAGCACCTCCTACGAAGGAAAATTGTTTGTACAGAGTCTTCTGCTCACACAGAACACTGACATATGCATTGACAGTGGAGTATGCTGACCTTGCGATCATCGACATTTCGAAAGCCGCCACTGAAGAAAGTCGCGCAGGGCTCGCAATTGAATTAAGGGAGGCCCTCCTCAACAATGGGTTCTTCTATGTCGTTAACCATGGGCATTCGAAAGCCCAAGTGAGCCAATTCTCTCATACCATGCAGATTTTTCAATCATACCTCGACCCAGACAGCTCGCATGTTTGACATTGCAGACGTACCCTTCTCGGCCGTCACTGATGAGGAGAAGTAAACTTATGTTTCAACACGGAGAGAAACTGGGTCAGTCCAAGGATATACATTACTGCAGTACACGGTACGTAGCAGTTGTGCGTTTTATTCACGCAAATCAATTGAATTCAGGATATCGACGGTAGAGTGCGCGACCAGCTTGAACAATACTCCAGTGAGCAGAATGCTTTCATTTTCGTTGACTCGCCCCACACCATTATAGCCAATCGCGATGTGACCGAGCGAAGACACCCAGAGGCCCTCCGTCCTCTTCTCCCAGAGATCCAAGAGTTTAACAAACACAATCACTTCAACGTGTTGCATCCTATCCTGAGGTAAATGCCTATCGGTGTGCTCGGGATGTTTCTCTGATAGCATATTGTTTTCTCAGGCTTATTGCACACAGCCTCGAGCGGCCGGAAGATACGCTAGTGAACAACCATGACTATGACGCCGTCGGCGAGACAGCTGGAACATACGTTTCAAGCAGCTCATGCCGTCGCTGACTTATGGATCAGTCAGGTTCATCAAGTAGTGAGTTCTTCCTTGAATTTCTACTCTTCACAAGTTCATGTAGTTTAGCTACCCACGAACAGAGGAAGAAGAAATCGAAACAAAGAATGTCTGGCTGAGGGGACACACGGGTCAGTGACCTTGATCACGAAGAAAACATGTGCTTACAGAGTCACCAAGACTTGGGGAGCATTACGATTCTGTGGAGTCAGCCTGTCGCTGCACTGCAAATTCAGACCCGCGAAGGCGAATGGCGTTGGATCCGTCATCTGGAAAATGCACTTGTAGGTGGTCCCGTTCTATCTCTCGACTCATGACATAACGAGAGGCGTTACAGGTTGTCAACGCAGGTGATACAATGGAATTCCTTTCCGGCGGGTACTACAAGGGCACGATCCACCGCGTTGTGCAGCCCCCAGTGGACCAACGGAATTATACTCGCCTTGGAGTATTCTACTTTTCCATGCCTAACGACGATGTCAGGTTGGTGCCGATGGTCGAAAGCCCAGTCTTGAAGAGAGTGGGGATTCAGAGACGTTGCGACGACAGCGAGGCACCAACTATGGAACAATGGAGGAAAACGAGGTCGAGGGCTTATGACCATTCAAAATTGAAGGGTGGAAATGAGAAGGGCATAGAAGACGAGATCATCGATGGGGTGGTAGTTAAGCATTACAACTGAAGCCTCGAGTTGTACTTGCAGTCTCACCATCCTTGGGCAACGAACATCTCCTCCGCGAGAATATATAAGGTCCAGTGCGAGAGGGCTAGCGAGTGTTAACACGAGGACGTCATCAAAGCCGCTGCGGAAGCGCGGTTCAATGCCAATAGCATGCGTCTATTTTGAGGTGTAGAAGAATGGGTGCAAGGTGCGAGTCGAGGACTCGGTGATGCTGTAAACATCTCAATTCGAATACAGAGTAGACAACAACACGAGCGAGAATGCGACAAGATAGCACAAGAGTTACATGGTAACCTACAAAACCTGAAGCAGCGAACGGAAGAGAATGGAATATCAACGACTTGGAGATCTGTACGAGATGAAAGCAATACGACACCATAGAACTACACACCAATATGCACGAAAACAAATTTCTGCTCCAGGGGTATTTTTTTCTTCACGGCGTTGGTAGCATAGTTGAGTGCCAAGGCTGCCCTTGTACAGTCAATGACACCCTCCTTCTTGAACATATTCTCGTAAAAAGCTTTGACGACGTGTTCTGCGACAGCGTCGTCGACCCCCCAAAGAGTACCAATGACGCTCTTGAACCCGGAAAACTGCAGACCAGCAGCGAGGTGGATGACTTCGTCTGGTGTCTCCTCATCGCCGACGGCGGTATGACATGCCGATAAAAACGCAAATTCAGCCTGCGGAGCATCATTCTCCATGATGTCCAGCAGCGTAAGAGGTTTATCTCTCATTGCGAAACGTGAATTATAAGGCTGCTCACGGTCCTGCTTGCCGTGACAAGCGAGGTGCGCCCAGGTGTTGCATCGCAAAGCATCAAGTGCACCTGCCTGTGTAGCATCATCGCCAGAGAGAGTGGTGAACTTGACACTGGGGGGAATGAGTTTATGGACAAGCTCGAGCTCACCGTCGACAGCAGCGAGCACCGTGCCTTGCCCAGCACCTGGTTGACTTTGGCCAATCGCCACGAAGGACGGAGGGGCCACGCGGGTCTTCATCATCTGTCGAGACCTGATCAAAGCTGACAGTGTTGGCGTATACGAGCAGAAATAAAGATCCTCCAGGCATGGTTCCTTCGTGCGAAAGGGGTGAGCTGCGTGGAGAGGAAGGGATGTGAAGGCTGCTGTAGGACACAGCCATATTCGAGACCGGCGCCGCAGTTTCAAATCATGCTGGAGGACATTAACAATAGGTAGCATGATCACGTCCCATACTTTCCGCAAGAGTACTCGCAAATCCTTCCTCGGCTCCTCTGGGCCCATAAGAGCTGCGAGCCGTATCTCCCTGGCGAAGTCGTTCTTGAGCATCTCGAGATGTTCGAGAGTAACAGACGGGAAGTGAACATGGCGGGGCTCTCCTGATGTCGGGACAATAACAGCATTGCACGAGTAGCTGCTTGCGATGAGGATGATAACTGGGCCATGGCTCGCTGCCGCTTGCAAATCTTTGTACGAAGGTGGGAGCAGGAATCGTGAGAAATCTTGAACATTGCGAATTTTTGCCACCACAGCTTCCCATTTCTCCGTAAGTCTCCCGTACTTTCTTGCTGCTACATCAGCAGCAGCTCTGTCGGTGATGGCTGCAGAGCCCTGAGCAGCGGAAATGTGCTGACTGAGCTCCGAAAACTTGTGAGCCAGTTTCGGGTTTGCTGATTCGAGATCTTCAAGCGGAGTCTTAAGTCGGGAGGCCAGTGACCACTGCTGGCCACGGCCCTGCTCCGCCAGTTCGACGGCTTTTTGTAGGTCATGATGGCGCATGACACACGAAGCGGCATCTACAGGGAGTGTTCTGGCATAACAGAAGGCAGCGGCAGCTTTGCGCCGCGAAGTGGTGGATGATCGTGTGGTGAGATGAGCATCAAGAAGCTCTAAAAATGTTGCGTAGGCTTCCAGTGCAGACTCATGATCATGCCCCTCTGCTACAACAGTCCAGTTAGATGCTGCAACAATGTGTTCTGGCAAGCCTGCAGTGGGATGTCTTGATGCCAGTCTGAAATTCTCCACTGCAAGTGACAAATCAGTAGAGTTGTGTTGCATCTTGTAGCAAGACAGATAGGCCTCCTGCAGCCATGTGTAGCTGGTGCATCTACCAGGGTGCAGCAGAGGCAAAGCCGCCAATGATTCTTGGCAGAGACTAATGGCTTCTTCAATATCTTCATTCTTCTGAGTTTGCTCGAAGCGAGAGCAGAGTGCCGAGCTCAAATTGAAAAGATTTTTATGGCGCTCTAGATCGTCATGTTGTGTTAACTGAAGGGATTCGCGATACAGATTTATGGCCTCGTTAAGATCCTCGCCGCCATCCAATTTGTCATATCTGATTTTGAGTGTGAGGGCAAGGTTGTTAAGTATGGTGTCACGACATGGATGCCCAGGTGGGCACAATGCCAGTGCCTCGCGACGGAGGCTGATGGCTCTGTTGATGTCATCAATGTCACCATGTTCCTGGAAATGTGTGCGGAGGGCGCCCCCTAGGCTCGTTAATGAATCATGACGAGATTCATGCCCAATAGGGCACAGATGCAGTGATTCTTCATGCAGAGAGATGACCTCGTCCAGATCATCAGGTCTGCCTTGGTGATTGAAGCATTTCCAGATTGAAAGGGCTAGGTTATACAAGTAGCCATCACGGTCAGGGTGTCCCTTGGGGCACAGAGAAAGGGCTTCACGACCAAGTTGTATACTCTCGTCTATCTCCTCTATGCTGCCTGATTGTCTGAAGGATGTGTTGAGTGCACCTGAGAGCTCAATGAGGGCTCTTGGACAGTGGTGATGACCCAGAGGACATAACTCAAGCACGATTCGTCGAAGTTGGATGCCTTCATCAGATGTGTCCGTCGGAAGATTGTTGCACACCGCAATCACATAATTGGCACCATTCTTCCCTACTGCGATGCTATGAAGATAGGTGCCCTCGGGACAGAAAGGCAGTAGCTCATGGTAGAGTCGGGCAGATTCACGCATATTGGCGGTGGTACATTGATTGCTATGGCGCCAGTGCAGCGCTTTGGTGAGGTGATAGAGAGATAGGGGATGATTGGGGTGGCCCTTCAGACGCGATGCAAGGGCGTCCCGGAATAGAGAGGTGGTAGAGTCAATATCTTGAAGATCCTTTCTAGTACAGCATTTAAGGTGGGCCCACGAAAGGTTAGTGAGTGTGGCTGCATGGTCGGGATGGCCGACCGGACACCAGTCTAGAACCCCCTGAAAATGCTCCACAGCATCATTCAGGTCAGAGATGCTCTTGCTGGTCACGTATTTGGTAAATCTTGTGTGTCCTGCATCCGTATCTCGAGCAGTCTCACAGTCGATGATGGACTACAGTTTGCATTCTATCAGAAAAAGCCAACAATATAGAGGCTGAGTCACTCACATCAAACAGTTCACCGTCGTCGTTTTTGCAATCATTCACAGAAGTGGCCTTCAGCATGAGAGAAGGACAGACGCCTCAAATGGGAGGGAAGGACATATCTATGACCAATAAGGAGATGTAGATTAATGTGAAGCAGATCACACACCGAATGGCTTGACTCTGTGATCGAGGAGCTCATTCGAGAAGATACCAAGTTCTCCAATGAGTTCTCCCTGCCCTAGCATTCGACTGAGTTCAAAGGATGCACGGATCTCCAGTGATAATCTAGGTGACACATCTGTTGATCTGCAAGCTGATGATGAGTACTGTAATCGTGTCCGTGAGTCTCTGTGGAAGGCCTTACAAGGTCACGGTATTCCCCCAAGCTACAGAACTGTCGGATGATAGTACTCAGACAGCTGACTTCCAGCATCTCATCTCATCGAGTTTGATAGACACGTAAATGCCTGCAGGCATGCGAGTGGAAGGGACTTTAAGTTTTTTTCCACCTACAACTGTGGATAAAATGTGAAGACCATGAAACAGATCCCAAGGTCGTATGGAGCAGCTCACCTTCAAGTCTGATGCATTGGCCTTCCAAGCTACTGGACATGATGGTGTAATGAAGCAAATAACAAGAGATGGGGATGGGCTGAGTGGTGGGACAAGAAGGGGCGAATGGATATGGGGACTGTGGATGAAGTTGAGGTGAGAGGGAGAGGATAAAGCGAGGGCATGCTGCACGTGTATTTCCAGTGCGGTCGATGGTTGTTTGGCACGATAGATGCTGGTCTAATTGCACTGAGCGCAGCTAAGACCAAACTAAGACGCAGACAGCTGCAGGAGAAACTTCGCTAATGAAGTGGACAAATATTGTCGTCATGAGTTGTATCAGCAAAAGTGGCCTACAATGGGCCAGGATACTGGTACGGAGCAGTACTTTGCGACTCTCCCTCAATAAGAGCATCACAAAAATTGCTCAGCTCTGACATTGTCATACATAGATATATCTGTGCTGTCAAAACTGTCAGCAATGTCAGGGTTAGGGTTAGGTATGTCTGAGCAGACCTAGAACCTGAAGTTTACGATGGACGGGGCGTGTACGATGTGTTCCAGGCAATGATATTCTTATCTCAATTAAATTATTCAGATATTGCAAATGACACAGAGATAGCCAGTTAAAGTCTGATATTGAGTGTCATTGAGAGAGCACAAAGTATTCTAAAGTGCTGCAATGTAAGGAACCTGGTGCACTAGCAGGATATGACTGAATGAGAGAATACTGGGACAAAGCATGGAAAGAAATGTCTAGAGGTGACAGAGGTAACAATGAGAGCACGTCAGCGGAAGTCCCAGCATGAGAATAATAGTCTATGAGAGTCAATGCCGCAGTGAGGCACAGTTCAATTGAAAATGCGGTGATTCGAGAAGCAGTCGCTGAATCGAAAATTAGGGGGAGCATGTCGATTGAGGTGTCCCTTGCCCTTCTTGCCAGTCACAGTTGCAACATTGAGCTTTACGACTGAGAAGCCAAGCGATGAGGATTGGCTTTTATCTTTTGGCAGTGCTGTTAGCTTCATCCCTGACTTGGAGGCACCCCTAAGTACTGGGGTAGTGGTTATGGTCTTTTCGATAACTGACGCGCCGTCAGGTGAGGAGATCGTCGCTTGCCACTTTGATGCCTTCTCCTTGACATTCTGCATGGTTTTTGGCGACAGTCGCTAGTGCTTGAATCATTTCCACTGGCGAGAAGTGCATAAGTGGAGAAGAGAGGCCTGGTTGGGGAACTGCTCGAGTTCAAGTTGTTGGGGGCAACACAACCCCAACAGTTTGCACTTTGCACACCAAAGGGTACCAAACAAAGGACTTAGAGAAAATTGAGTGTGCGTACACAGTATGAATTCGGAAGACGCAAATTTGACTTTTACTTTATCAGACCACAGTGCTGTGTTGTCGTTGTGTGTACTAGAACACCCTGCAGGTCATGCATCATGCGAGATGGAGATCAATAATTTTGGGCTGGTTAATATCTTGCAATATCTTAGATATGTCGTGTAGATACAGATGCACTCACTGTGAGATGTCGTGTAGATACAGATGCACTCATTGTGAGATGTCTCCAAGTATTTCATAGCAGGTCACCTTGCAGAGCAAGGTCACTTCAATGCGGCGTTTTCTGCAGATTCAAAATACAGACAAATATGTGATTAAGGAAAACCGGAAAACCCGACACACTGAGGATGAATATGTCATCCGAAAATCTGGAACATCCCAGTCTCACGGATTGCATCAACTCCCATGACACATGTAAGTAAATAACAAAAAACATAAGACAACATGAATCAACCATTGTGTCGTACTGTCCATCCCAGAGAATCAGACAAGAAACCGCACTGCCATACAAATACATCAAACTTACCGGATACCATCACATCTCAAGTGCTGCTAATATCTGAGCAGCAATGTCATTGTCTTCCAGGAAGAACTGTGTATAACCGCAAAAGTTGATGAGGTACAAAATTATAACTAGGGAAATGGTTAATCATAACCACCTGAGATTCACACTCAACATACCCGGTAGTGCTGGATGACTGCGAAGTTCTTGTGCAATAGCTGTGATGTCAATTGCTGCGTGATAATCGCTCAAGAGCCAATTGCAGCAAGGGAAGGTATGAAAATGACTCAATCCTCGTGTCTGAGTCTCAGCTATAAGTGATTAACGTTAACATGGACTCACAAGTTATAGTGTAATTAAAGACCTATCAAGAATGTGCCCAATAATGCGGATGGCAAGTTGTTTTGCATTTTAATCGATGCTGTATGACTGAACAACACGAAGTTTACATCACCAAACATAAAGACTATGACGGTGACATCATATTGAGTAAACTAACGATGACACAAAATTACATAGGTATTAAATGGTAATGATGCAATGTCACTTTCTAGCCGTGTCTGTGTTAATTTTCCGCAAGATGGCACAGTCTGACGTTTGGCCATCAAGAACGCCAGCCGCCAACATACCCTGGGCTGTGTTCACCTGGACGATCCCAACGGTTCATTTGAAATTTTTTAGCGCGCTCGAGGAGACAAGGACGACATCACTTACTAATGTGTTTCGTCAAAACATTTTTTGGTATCCTTTACTAGTTCATCAATGCGTGCATCTTCGATGCGCAGATCCTTGGATGGATGTCGAAGAAATAAATCTTTATTGAAGTCTCTCAACAACCTTATTGATTCGCGTCCATGGCTTCTGGACAATGCGACGTACACGTTAAACAGTGACAATGAAAAACATGTTGTCTTACCGATATCAACCAACACGTATTCAATGGTCTGGCCTTGAGATTTGAAATCTGTAAATGCATAGGCAGGCACTAATGGCAATTGATGTTGTGTGATTCGGGTCACCGGTGAGGAGCCAATAGAGAATTTGTACTGCACTGGAGTTAATGGTACGTGGCAAGGATGAAAGCCTGGTAATGGAGGTAGCTTGCAGAAGTCCAGTTCCAGAATAACCATTGCTGGTGGGTAGTGCAAGAAAACCTTGCGTTCAGCAATAGCCTCTACTGAAATTGGATCCTCCCTCACATCTAAAATAATATCAACTACACGTCCTCAAGATCCATTGGAGAGATTGGCGGTAGTTGCTAAGTTTCGTGTAACCATGACTTGCATGCCTTTGACCAACCGAATCATTGTAGGAAGCTGTTCAGTATCTTTTAGAGCCATATGAGCAACCGTAAGGCGTCCACAGGGATCCAATGAAGTGCTGTGAGCAGAATCCTCTGCAGGACAGATATACATCATCTTGTTGGATAACAAACAATGTTTCTCCGTTGCACAATTGTTCCATCGAGTTTGTACACTGTTATGAGGCGTGATGAGTACAGCGTCTCTCCATGGCATACTTGTGAAATTGGGAACGGAACAGTCTTCTGAGGTTAATACCAATTGCCAGATTTCAGTAAGGTCGTCATTTGTACATGCGCCAATTCTGGTGTGATCAAGAATATCGACCCATGTTGGATCAGTGATGCGAATTTGCCTATACAATTTGATGATAGTGTCAAACTGCGTATAGATATTTTTTCCAAGCTTGCATTTGCTAGTTGTGGGATGTTGAGAATACAAAGCACAATGTCGACCAGCTACTGGAGGGAATTGATGAAAGTCCCCTAGGATTATGACACTTAGTCTGCCAAATGGTGTAACAACCATGCTTGGAGGTACTCCGTCCGCTGCACAAAATGCAGACTACACTTGCGACAACATATATAATGTGTCGGTTGTCAACAAACTCATTTCATCCTCCGCCAATAGAAGTTTGGCATGCATGTGAGCGTAACGGCACCTTGATGTCTCCACACTAGGACAAAATATCCAAGAGTCGGTACAAGGCATTCCCTTGCCAGTGGGAAGAGTGCCCCAAGAATGTAATGTTTTACCGCCAATTTGACAAGCAGCTACCCCTGACAGAGCTGTTTTTGCGAATCGCTCGGAACTACCAACAGTCTCAAACATATCAGTTATAGCTTCGAGTAAACGAGTTTTGCCGGTTCCAGCTTGACCATGAACAACCATAAGAAGCTGTGAAGGATTGTTGCCGAGAAGAAGTTGATGGACATGTTCTGCGACAATAGTGAAAGCCATGGACTGTTCCTCATTTAAATAACTCGGCAGTGGAACAGGGGATAGAAGAGGGTCGTGGTTGAGGGATTTCGCGGTTAGCATTGCAGATGGATTATCTTTGGCAACACCATTGAAAGGTTCAACAGTGCTAGAAGCACTGGCAGGTGCACGCGAAGGCTGCTCCCTAAATAAATCTGCTTCTGCAATATATTTTTGCCACAACAGGCAGTTCTGTAAGTTCTCCTCCATCGCAATGGGAGTGATAGATCCAGAAACATGATTGGAAGGATTGGTATCCAAAGCGAAAAAATTAAATTCATTGGCAATGTTCATCGCGACCTTGGCGTAAACCATCTCTCAAGTGCTAAGACTGTCTTCACAAGCTCATAGGACATCTTCATCAGATATCGACTCCTCGGTGAATTGATTAATATCACCCACACCATCCAATTCTGCCTCTTCATAGCTATCGTCAATATGTTCACCCTCTGCAACAGCAGCAAAGATATAATCATGAGTCGCTGGATGTTTTCTTGCTCCCGTTTCGCCTGATCTGAGCAATTGTGAAAATATTGGATATTATCGACAATAGTCTGAACTTCTTTTGGGGCGCTGGATATAAAGCACTTGAATGCCGTCTCGAAAGTTTCATCTGTCTGCTTCAAAGTAGTTACATCCATCCAAGGTTTGAGTAGCACCAGCATGGATGTGCAATATAATGGGTAAGATTCAGGATCATTGGAATGAGGAAACCATGGACCAGGTATATGAGGCATTGTTTCATGTCCTTCTTCACGAAGTACCTGAATATGACTAGAATGAGTGGATCCGGCCGTGTAAGGAACTCGAACACCAGTGCCTGCCTTTTTATACACTTCAGGGATATCGATATCGGACCGTATGTCATACGTATTGAGAAAAAATTCAAGATAGCTAAAGGCCTCAAGAGCAGAGCCTCGATCAACGTATTCATGTAGTTGATCGCAGATTTGAAGTGAGCTGTCGTGCATTTCAACAGTAACATATTTGCTCTATAGGAACATAAGAATGGAGTATAGCAATCGGTCAAGTACAACACTTACTCGAGGGCTCATAGTATCTACTTGGACCATCAATCCTTTGGCAGAAGAACTACTTTTACTACAAAAACCTATTAGATTTTCTAGTTCACTATGATGTTGAAAGACTTACTGTGGACTTCTCAAAAAAGTGAATGTGCGCTTCAACAGACTCACCACAGAAGACCAGTAAATGGTCTGGAAATGGTGAGATATATATCTGTCACCCCAACCCATCAAATATGACATGACTTCCGGAGCACTAAACTCTTGTTCCTGACTAAGCGCATTCGCGCAGCGCTGTATGAGGTGTTTGTTCAAAGTCTGAACATCACTATTGTGTGCTTCATCCTGACGATGGTACACAAAAATTTTTGCAAGAAGTGCCGAGGCGTTACAAGAATGCTGCTGGCATTTTGCTGCATAGGAAGAAATGTACCATGCAATGTGTTTCGTGCCGTCCCCATTGGTAATAAGTTTAATATCATGATTAGAGCATGTTGCCAGAAGAATTGTCAGATTCCAATTATTCAAGAAACAATAACTTTGATGGGGTCCCCAATCGCCATTGGAATCTATCCATGCATCAGGAGCGAGTGGGAATGGTGTGTGTCTTTTACACAGCATACGACCACCAGAAACTTTAAGGCACCCTAGACCACACTTGTGGATTTGAACTGCGCAAGCTAGTCGACCTTCTACAGCAAAGTGATTTCTTGCAAACAACGATTGACGAGGATCGAGTGGCCGAGAGTAGGACACTGCCTTTTCATGAGGAATGGTCGCCAAAGATTCTTCTGTGATATGGTCGTGATGAGCTCGGATGTTGGATGCGATGTATGCCGCAATGCGAGACCGGAATTTGGCTGATTGTAGATGTTTTTTCATTTCCCCCACAGTAAGAGAACCTCGTATCCATAAAAGCATATGCAGGTGTAATGTTCCTCGTCCTTGAGCCTCCATGGCACCAATATATCCTTCAACCACTCCAAAAATGCCCTTGCAATGTACAATGCGACCTCCTCAACCATGCGAATGAATTGTGATGCCGAATAACTCTTCAAGAATGGCACCGATGACTGAAATGAAAAAATTTAGCTGCAGCATACGGATCATCCACAACGATCTTCACCCGTTGGGCAGAATCAGGTTCCGTGGTACAGTCAAAAGCATCGAGGTCAATTTGCTCTCCCTGCTAACACTTGAACAATTGGATCATGAGTATCGGTGGGATTGATTGTGATCTACAACAACAGAGGATTTTTCATAAGCATCATACCCCAAATATATGCGCAAATGCTGATCCGAGATTTGTCTGTTCCTATAATGTTGGCTCGTACAGCACTGATGTGCTTCTTCAATGCACGTATAGTAGGATTAGAGGGAGCTTCCTTTTTAGCCTCCTCTTGAGCCGCAGTAACAAGATCTTGAGGAGGTAGACGTGCGAATGATGCCTCATTATCGTGAAAGGCTTTCTTCTTCACCTGAAGAACAGCGGATCGACAAACCTGTCGCTTTTGAATGACGCCGAAGACTTGAAACATAAAATGAAAATCCTTTCTGAATCATTTATCGGTGTACTGCATGGCCCATTTCGCGTGAGCTTCATACAATATGGAACGTGGACGGAAGCCTTCGAATCCACCCATACCATAAGGAAATAAACACGGAAAGGCGCCTAATAAATGGTTTGGATCCTCTGAGGTTCTGGCAAATTGCACGCCAGCACTATCATGACAGGCATACTCATTGACAACCCAGAACCATGCTGAACAGAGTATGATCCCAGGCTAGACATGTTGGCAAAAGTGTTTGCAAGAACATCTTGATTTGACAACAGGGAAGCCTCTGCATCTATAACTCCATGTGTTTGAATTGGAATAACATGAGAATCTAACAGTAATGAGCACAAATCAAAAATTAAAATTAAAAGAAACTAACTAATGTGACCTTTGACTTCCCCTTCGTCCTCCGCTGTACTTGTCATCAAATCAAATGTTTCAAAAGTAGAATGGAGATCTGTACACTGTAAGTAAACTATAACAGGAGGGAACGAACTACTAACCATTATCATCCAAGTCAAGACCATCAATAACGTATCCTGCTCTCTCTCATTCTAGCAAGTGCTGCTTGTCTGAAAACTTCATTACAGACAACAGCTCATCGGGAAAACCGTCCTCTGGCAACAAAGCCAGATTGGCTTCACAAATTGTGATATCACTGTAGAGTTGATTTTTGTGCTTCAAAAACAGTAATGCATCCTTAATGCAACGGCAATTAACTGTGAGGATGGACGGCAAAGATTTCACTGGCAATTTGCTAGGGCCAATGATAGTAATAGCAATAGTAGCAGCAAGGACTGCAGGTCTGTGAGGCATTAACTTCCCATCAACCATCACATCGATATTGGGAATGTTTAACTGATAGGTTGATACGTTTCCGTGAACTCCACTATTCAACGCCATGGAATCCCATTGAGTTGCACCTTTGCATTGTGGATACAGCTTGACCACATACACTGCAGGAAAATATAAAGCAATGAGCAAACGCTCAGGAAGATTGAGGATAGCGAGAACATTGGGTATGTCTCCCACCCACAACCCATTCACCAATGAAAGTCGTGGAATATTGCCAACTTGTAAATCCTCCAAACACTCGCAACAGACCAGTCCTCAAAGTCGGCCTTCTACATCAGGACAGAGCTGCAGTGTGCAATAGTAGACAGTTTACCAAAGTTTGGGCATGGTGTCGAAAGACTGGGGTGAGGATCAATGAAATGACACAGGGACTCTCATTTAACGTCATCTGAAGGATCCATAAGGAAATCTGTGTCTGGTACCTGTGGTGTAGGATTTTCAGTGAATTGGCCTCGTTTCAGTTGAATATCTTGATCCTCAAATTGATGGTGCCTCTTCTGTTCATATGCACGCTTAACAGCATCCTGCAATGCACTTGAACCCTGCACTGCCTCGAGGAGAGTAGACCGTCGCCGCTTCTCTGCAGACGTCAACAACGATCCAGCTTCAGATATAATGTCTTTCATGGTCAAGAAATCGACCATATCCATCGGTTTGCCTTGGGAATCATCCATAGTAAATGTTGGACAACATCAACCTACTCAGATGAAAATGCAAACACAGGAGCAGATAAGCAATGACTAATTCACATTATGATGATGGGTGTCACCTTATTTAAAAATCAGATCCGCCACACCTCCTTTTTGACTGCAACCATGGCCTTTGACACACACACTTATCACATCGAACACTCCTCCGCTCACGGCTATGCTGCATCCCCACACTTCTCAAATGCAAGGATGTGGCAGCATTCATCTACAGGTCTAGAGGTTGTCAACGAATCAGATCTATCACCCTTCATAGCTACCATTGTTGGGCGTGTATCTCCATACTGCCTGAAATGTACCCCCTCTGGCAACCATTTCACAGGCGGTATGAGTCCCCTTGCAAAAGCCAAATATCAAGTTCCACATCACTCGTCCAGCGGATCATGAGTTATCAGTGGATTATCTGGCTAGAGTCCGTAATCTGGAAATATTGCAAGCGGAAGTCGGTAAAACGGGCAACCACAAAAACATGGTGATTGATGACTACACTGGTAAAATGATTCGCTTCATAAAAAACATATTCACTGTTTGTGTGTGTACCTGATCCTCGACACACAATAAAACATAAACTGACCAGAATAAAAGGACCGCACAATTCCAGACTCTCCTCACGGAGAGGCTGCAGAGAACGCCCCAAAGATGGATGATGAAACAAAAAATTGGCTGATTCCGGATGAGTTCGCACACAACTTTGACGGATTGAAGTATAGCATGGCGGCTGAGCCGTTGCCTCTCTACCATGAAGGTCACTTGGTAGAGCCAAGACACGCCAACCAGATCATAAACGGCACAATCATGGAGGTACAATTCAGCATTCAGCACTGGTGCATCACAGACTTCAATAGCTTCCAAGCCACTGCACAAAAGGTGACAGTTTTGAGGCTCGGGCCCATTCACATTCCATCTAACTACAAACATGCCAACCCGGAGGCTGATCTTGATGAACAGCCTAAGATGAAGAAACTGCGATATAATGCAGAGGCTGGTTCATCAAAGGATGGATAAAAGAAATCGTGTGCAATATGTATTTGAATCCAAACAACCGAAGGTTCATAAACAAATGTACTTATATCTTCATCATGTAATCACAAATTTGAGATGATATTTGCTCCCAAAACCAAAGAATAATAACAAACTCCGCAAGGTCAAAAGTCAGCAGCACCGATGCCTAGTTGGAATGTTGCTGACAATGACCAGACAGTGGTATGTCAAGCGTGTGGCGCACAACGGTCTAAATCGGGTAATATCTCAGTTGAGCAATTTTTGTGATGAGTGGGGCACTCTCAGTTGTATCACTCATACTATCCATTTAGTGCACTATAACGCAAAACGTAAAATCCAGTTTATTTCATGGCACTAACAATACGAACCATTCTATGCGAGTGTTGAGTTGATGCCATGGGAGAGAATGAACAAGAATCAGAGTGTCATGAAAAGAAAGGCAATGGTTTGTGAGAATATGACAGGTCGAAATTCCGTCGAATATAAGATGAGATAGCCTGACAGTACATGTACAATGAAAATGTGAACATGAATGTGACTTGAAGAAAGCGTGGCCTAGGGACATAGGTGAGACTTTGAACATATATAGACAACCTGTTGGTTGCAACAAGCACTGGGGAAAAAAGGAGATTATGCACCAGTGGGAATGTCACATGAACCTTGGATTCTGACCAGATTATCACCATATCTTGACCACATATCTGCGAACTGAAAATATGATATGAGTCTGCATATCCTCATGTCATTTTCGCCACATTCTGAGCTTAGCGTACTTAGCGCAGCACTGAGACTTGTCATTGATTGATTTAATTTCATCAGGTGATTCTTCACGATTGAGTGCACGCGTCCCTCACATAGAACTCAGTACTGCCACGCGCAGCACACCAACTTCACTGAGTTTGCACCACGCTCCGCACATGGACAACTCAGTTACTAGTTCAAAAGTATGTTAGTGAATGATTCAGAACAATTATTCTGACATCCGCACTCCATTATGTGCAGCCTAATCGATGGCAGGTGCTTGTACAATGCCGGTGCTCACAATGCAGCAGTGCCAACCTCGGTTACAAGCTTGTAATGTCGAATACATGTTGCAAACACGAGTCCAAGGATACTACTACAAGGAACTTCAAGCTGACAAAGCAACCATCCAAAGCTGCAGCTACTTGCACTACCATCCAACCTTTACCCGATGACCCACTGGCAGAAACACCTGATTGTGATACTGGAAACACGTCTACAGATACAAGCCCGACTCTTGTGGCTTCAAGCCTTCCAGCATCTCCCCGATTCTGGCCAGCAGACTCGGCTGATGATGATACCTCCCTTGAGGCACTCCCTGACTCGGAACTAGGCAACACTGGCGACTACAGCTATGACTATGACATGCCCCTAGATTTTGATCAACAGTTGGATATCAGCTCTAGGGACCAGCTTGAAGTGAGCATGTCAGACAGCATAGATCATAACCCCAAGCCTGAGCCATGGGAGTCCCTCCCCCCAGAGTCAATATCACAGTCCGATAATCATAATAACAATCCCGTTCAAGATAGTGATGATGAATTTGAAGACCTGGTGACTTTGGTCCCAGCATTTCGGCAGACACCACCCATGCGTCTTGTCTACCTCCAGTCAGCGATTGCCCACATCACCGGAGTGGCGACGGTTACTGATGCTACCAACCGACTACAAGATGGGCTTGATCTCATCGAAATATGTGGTGTCTTACCAGTACATCCACAACCCCTTCGTTCTCTCGCAACTGTCAAGAAACACCTTGGCCTGCAGGTAGACGACTATGTCGAGAAAAAAGCGATCTGTACAAGATGCTATAAATTCTACTCCCCTCAAGACATCCAAGATCTGATATCCCTGAACTGCACAGTTCGAAGATGTCAAGGCATCATCTATCGCATGAAACACGAGCGCCCAGATGATATCACTGGCATAGAGCGAAGTAAATGCATACCTGCGAAGATCCTGACTTACTGTCCCCTCATTAAAGCTGTCAAATGTTTTCTCTTATGACCAACATTTGTTCAGAGTATGCGAGACACCACAGTCGACAAAGATCACCTTCCGTTAATAGATGAGGAACTCATGCAAGACATATATGATGGCACTGATGGTTGAAGCAAGAAGTTGGACTCAAACGAGTCATTGAAGCAGATGGCTCAATTGTTGATGTTGAAGTCACTCCAGGATCAAGTCGCTCGCTATTCTCTTGTGAAGTTGGCCTAAGTATGACTATCAATATTGACTGGTACGTGCATATATGTGACCTCAAGTATTTCTGAAATCACTTCTGCTGGATAGGTTTGGTATCACTGAAAATAGACCTGTTAAGGTCGTGCTCAAGGGAGAGGTTACTCAAAGGGCTTTGGCTTCAGCTCGTGCGCTGTGCCCCTTACCCGAGTATGTGCCCTTTAATTTCCAGGGGACAGAGGGGAAGTCCGATGGAAGTCCGGGGAGTTCCGGAGGACTTAGTGTCGGTGGAGCTTGGTGGAACTCCAGAAGGGTTATGTGGGGACGGAGTAAGGCTTCTATGGAAGTCCAGAGTAGAAACAGAACAGAGGTTAGACTACCCTAAGGTAGAGCCGGAGAAGTAGTCCTAAGGTTTAACCCCTAAGACTTGGAGGTAGACAAGAGATGAGACTCAAGTCCGGAGATTGCAGGAATGAGCAGAACTAAGATGATATTCGAACTGAGGAGTTCCGGAGTATTACAGGGGTTTATATACTGTAGGTAACATGTAAGTAAATCAGTCAGCAAAGGTAAGGGCTATGTACAAAGCATGTGGAAAATCTATTACTAAGTGTAATGGATCAAAGCAGTGAAGTCAGAAATGAAGTAGGAATGGACGAATCAATAAGCATAGCAGAAAGGACATAACCGGTGACCAGAGCAATAGCTAATCTAAAAGGAGTTAGGGGTGAGTACGGAGATGAAGGCGGAGCGCTGGGCGGAATAGCAGGACGGAGGACCGGACTTAAATGAAGTAGATCCGGAATTCCGGATCCAGAGGTATGGGATATGACAAGACCTCACTCTGCGGGCGCTGTTTACATATCATTCAACAACCTTCACCGTGCAGTACGGTACTTGACACAGAATGTCTACCTAGCCATGGTCATCCCTGGACCCAAAGAGCCTAGCCTCGAGCAGCTCAACCACTGCCTCCAGCCCTTGTGTACGGAGCTCCATACGATCTATAAAGGTACACCTAGTATGCAGTTTACAAGCATCAGAGCTCATTTACACCAACACAAGGGCTTGCAATGCGCATGTATGGCTTCTGTCTCCCACGTCAAGTTCATGGATGTGTCCTATGTGAGAATTCCAATGTACCAGCCACACAAAAGCTCACTGGAGCAGCGGGACACAGTCACAAGAAGCACCCATGTAACTACTGCTTTGTTCTTCTCGTTGACATCAATGCAGACACTGCTTATGACATCGAAAGTGAGTCTTAATCCGTCTCCATTTAATCATGATTATCGACTGACCATGAATATACCAATCTAGATTTTCACTTACGCAGTGATGAAGAGCAGTTGCATCATGCAAATTGCTCCAATACTGCCCGTACAGAAGTTGCTTGTAAGACTATCCTGGACGAGCACGGGGTTCAATATTCAGTGATGAATGAAGTCCCTGGATGGATGCCAATGTGATGTGCACCAATAGACTTCATGCATAACTTTTATGGTTACCTCTTGACCATACTCTACCTTGAACTTCACTGATGTACGATTTTTTCCAGCCTTAGTCAAGAAATACTTTACAGAGTTTTTGGTCTCAGGTTACCTCCTTGACTCACTGGGGTGGAGTACCTTCGAGAGCACTGTGAATAGTATTACGTGGCCATCGGGGATTGGACGACTACCCACCAATGTGAGCTCATTCCTCCTTACTAACACCCGTCTGTTTATTGAGGCCATACTGTCATAATTATTGATACAATGTCAGGCATTGTAGAACAACAGTTATGCATACTCAGCAGGGATCCCCAACCCTCCATAAAGTATTCATACAGTGGAAAATCACTTGAGGAAGCATACAGGAAGCATACAGGTGAGAAGCCTGGCCTTCTGGAACTTCTCAGGCATCTCCATGTGCTCCCCACATTCTCCCCACATTATTCCCACACATCATATGTTCGCATTTTTCAGCCACGCAGTGTGGGAATTACCCCACAACACCAAAAACATTGCCCATTTTGGGAATCTCCACAATATCAATTCTTCCCACACCCTTCCCACCTCACTGCAGCTTCACCACCACACCACAATAGGTCCCCATCCATATATAGGTAGTAGTTTGGTATATATATTTATATTATAATATAATAGTCCACTTTTTTGTTTATTTGTGTGCCTCCTCCTCCTCCAGGGCTCTTCAAAAAAGCCTAGGGTACAGAACACTTTCGCACTTCTACCTCTTTGATAGGGAAGTGTTTTAGGGTATTCAGGACATATTTAAGAGTGTATATGAAGAGATTCCCCCACTTGTTTGACCCCCTGAAGCACCCTACATCAATAAATATTGTTACGAACTCAGTTGGTTCCACACTAGATACCCACAAGGAGTACCGATCTAGTGTTGCGTCAAGTTTCAAGGTAAGGCTACTAGATGGAGAGTCTAGTAGAAGATGATGTGAATGTGATAGAAGCGATGAGGCTTGCTATCTAGCTTTCATGCTATCCCTCTGTCTTGAGGTTTTAGGTGTGATACTGAGTAGATTCAAGTTAAGGACTACTACAGTGTACGGAGTCCTTTATATACGAAAAGCAGAGGATACCGGTTGAACGGTAAGGGTCAAGGGTGGTACCGACAATGCGGTAAGGGCATAGGGTATGAGTCAGAGATGACGGATAAACCAGATAAGCGGTGCAGAGAATGATCAGCCAGTATGGATAAGCCAAGTGAACGGTAAGATGGAAGTCGCTTTGGCGACGGATAGCGGTAATGAAAAGATAGGCAAAAGAGAATAAGCTAGTCTGAGGGGCTTACGTAATGTCCCTGTAACATCACCTCCCGTTCTAAGGGTGAAGTCACCTGGCTTCATGCATCAAGGCGGGCATCATCCAAGAAGACATCGTCAACGTCTAAACCTTCAATCTCGTTAACTTCGAGCCGGCGGTCATCTTCATTGTCGCGGTCAGGGATAATGCCCTGGCGGGCGTCATAAAAGTGTTCAAGACGTGTGAGTTGTGTGTGAAAGTTAGGGTCAGAACGACCACGATGAAGGATAGTTCGTCCATTAAGACGTGGGCAGTATGAAGTGAAATGTCCTGGGGCGAAGACCCCGCAGATACGACAGAAGTACTGGTGGCAATGACAATGTCTGTGGCCATACCGTTTGCAGCAGTGACAGATGAAGTTGGCGGGGTGGGTCTGCTCCGTTTCAGTGGCTTCGAATTTGGCATGATGGATGCGATCTGCGGTAGTAGTCATGACTCTTTCTGGTTCCCCTGTTTCGACGTTGGGTGCTATGCCATGGAAGATGGGAGGATATTTAACCAATAGCGGTAAACCAAGCGAAAGAAGCATGGTGGTTCCGCAGTTACGGCGATTTTGTTTACTAGGGGAGGTGGCGCGGCCGGCTGGTTCGGGGATGTGTAATGGTTTTTGCTCAGGAGTTTTCGGAGTAGGAGGTGGGGAGTAATGCATGATGGATGGTGTGGCAGTTCCGTCTGCTTCTAAGAAATCTCCTTCAAATTCGCTTTCTTCAGTGATGAGATTAGGTAAGTTTTCTGCTTCAGCAGGGGGTTCCGGGGTTTCAGCACGGGGTTCTGTGGGTATGAATGGTACTAGCTCGATGTTTTCTTCATCAAGAATGCTCGGTTGGATGGGGGATGGTGTAGGTTGTACTACAAACTTGCCGTTGTTGATCTGATCAACGAGTTTGCCGAACTTCTTCGTGGCTAGGAGTGTCATGACGGCGTTTTTGATTTTGGTTTGTGCGTAGTGAAGGGATACCGTCCCAAAGGTTCCACATTTGCATTCCTGCATGTCGACGATGCAGGCGGTGAGGGTATCTGCGGTTCTGAATGCTGCAATGAGTTCAAAGAGGATGGGGTCATTGCGGGCGATGATGAGGTTGTTCGATTTCTATAGCATAACGGCTGTATAGGATGAGTGCCTCCCAGAGGGCTTTGTCTTCATTCATGGGTGTGAGATGAGGGTGGGAGGCGAAGAAGTTGGAGTCGTTTGATGAGTTGGACATGTTTGTTGTTTTACAGAATTGTTTTCTTAGCTCCTTTACTAGTGAGTTTTCTTTTATACGCTGTCAGGATGTCGGAAGAATTAGTCAAATCTGACTTGGTTTGCCAGGAGTTGTCCGATTCAGGATATCCTTTCCACGATACAAGGTATCGGCGGCGATTACCCATTCCTTTATGGGCAAGTATTGCTTCTATTTCGTATTCTTCTTCGCTGTCGATTATATTAGGCGGTGGTTCTTTGTAGTTTGGGCCGTGAACTTCAGTTTCGTGATAGGAGGATAGTTCAGAAGCATGGAATGTGGAGTGAACTTTCCAGGTTTCTGGAAGTTTGATCTTGAATGTGATTGGTGATAAAACTTCTTCTACAGTGAATGGTCCATATCTCTTCGGTGCGAGTTTCTTTGATGGGAGTTTTGTTAATAGATGAGCTGCGGATAGCCAGACCTTGTCCCCTTTCTTCCATGGGGTGTACTTTCTTCCCTGCGTCTTTTCTCCCATTCGCTGTTGGGCAAGGGCATGGCATGCTAGTGCTTCTTCTCGAATCTTTCCGAGGTGTTTCAGTCGTTCTTCTACTGCTGGTACTGACGTTGCGGGGAATGCCTGGGGTAGGCTTTTTGGTTCATACCCCATCATCAGGGCGAAGGGTGATGTATTTCTGGCGGAATGTTTCCTTGAATTGTGGACGAATTTGGCCATTGGCAGATGTTGCAACCATTCAGTGGGGGTAGTGCGGCAGTAGATTCTGAGGTAAGTTTCCAGTTCTTGATTAAGTCGTTCTGTTTGTCTGTCTGTCTGTGGGTGATAGGCTGTAGAGAGGGCTACTTGGTAGTCCAGGATCCGTCCTAGTTCTTTGGCAAATTTGGAAGCGAATTGTGGTCCTCTGTCGGAGATGATTTTGTCATAGAGACCGAAGCGTGTGAATACTTTCTTAAAGAAGAGGTTGGCAACGCCTTCTGCAGTAATGGTTTTCTTGCATGGACACAGAATTGCCCCTTTCGTTAGACCATGGTCGACCACGACCATGACAGAGTCGAAGCCGTGGGACGGGGGAAGATCGGTGATGAGGTCAACGGAGACCTGCTCAAAGGGGCGGGTAGCAATGGAGGGGATCGGCATCAGGGGAGGGGTGACGGGGTGAGTGTCGGATTTCATTTGTTGGCAGATGGTGCAACCAGCAACATAGTTCTGGATGTAGGTGCCCATACCGGGCCACCAATAAGCCTTTTTGACATTCCACTCGGTAATAGTGTGGCTGGGATGGCCCGCGGTAAGGTGATCATGGTGGAGAGCTAGGACTTTCCGGCGAAGATTGGCCAGGACGTAGGCCCTGTCTTTATAAAACAGCACACCATCAGTGAAGGCCTAATCGGAGAGGGCAGATTTGATGGGCGGTGCGCAGATACCGCTCAATGCTTGGAGGGCGGTCTGGATGGTGGAGTCAGGCTGCAGACTCGGTAAGGGATTTAAACTGATGCACAAGCACACCATTGACCAGGTGGACGAAGAGGGAGTCGGGGAGCAAGGTGACGTTGGTGTTATCAGGGTCACCAACGACATGGTCCGGTCGTTGTGACAGGGCATCAGGAGCGGCGAGTTGTGCGCCAGGGACGTGGTGGAAGGCGAGGTCAAATTCACTAAGAGTAAGCTGCCACCGGGCTTGGCGACGTGTCAGTTGTTGCGCCGATCGGAAGTAGAGGAGATTCTTATGGTCGGTGAAGACAATAACAGGGTGGGGGTTGCCTTCCAGGAAGTGTCTCCAACTTTTGAGCGCATGTATGACAGCTAAGAGCTCGCGGTTGTAAATCTGATAATTTCATTCAGCGGTGTTGAATGATTGGGATAAGTACCCGCAAGGGTGGTAGGCACCATTTTCATCGGTCTGTAGCAATACGGCACCAGTAGTGAAGAGCGATGCATCAGTGGCGAGGGCAAATTGTCTGGTTGCGTCGGGATTGCGGAGTACAGGTTCTGTGAGGAAACTATGTTTGAGTTTGTCAAAGGCGTTTTGGCACTGGTCTGTCCAGTGAAAGGGTTGATCTTTCTTCGTTAGATCAATCATAGGTCGCGCGATATCCGAGTAATGGGCAATGAAGTGTCGGTAGAAGTTGCAAAATCTGAGGAATGATCGTACAGTCTTTGACAGTAGTTGGCGTCTGCCATTGGCTGATTCCTTCCAATTTGGTGGTATCCATGGCAACTTTGCCCAGGCAGATGATCATACCGAGGTATTCTACTTCTTGGGCGTCGAATGTACATTTCTCCGGCTTGAGGAATAATGTTTCGGTGCGTAGTTTTTGCAGTATGATTTTCATTCGGTTCTGGTTTTCTTCCAGTGTGTCTGAAAAGATGAGTATGTCATCCATGTAGACAATCAGCCATCCAGCGTCGATTTCCTGTTTAAATGTTTCATTCATGTAGGCTTGGAATGTTGCAGGCGAGTTGCATAAGCCGAAGAACATGACTTTTGGCTCAAATAGACCAAATGACATGGAGAAGGCGGCCTTCCATCGATCGTCAGGGTGAATCAGGATATTATTGTATCCAGACTGAATGTCCATTTTGGTGAAGTATTTGGCATCTTTGAGCTTTGCAATCAATGGGGGAATCAGTGGAAGTGGATAAGCATTCTTGACCGTCCAGTCATTGAGATAGCGGTAATCCTGGCAGGGGCGGAGGGTACCCCCTTTCTTTCCTACAAAGAAGAAGCCACTTGATTGTGGCGACGTTGATGGTTGGATATAGTCTTTTGCGAGGTGTTCATTGAGAAAGGCTTTTACTGCTTTGGTTTCTTTCAGGGGAGAGAGGGTACATTCGGGTGGATTTTGGTATGAATCCAGGTTTTGTTTCGATACGATGATCTACGAGGTGTCGGCTTGGGGGAAGTTGGTTTAATCCGTCTTTGGCGAAGATATCCCGGAATTCGTGGAGGTACTTGGGGATGAGTTCTTTGAAAGTTTTCTTGACCTTTTCCTGGACGTCTTTCATAGCGAATTCTTGTGCCTTGTTACTGGTTTTCTGGATTTCCTTGAGTTGTTCATGTAGGGATTGGGCGAGGACCCAGGTGTTTCGTAATGGTACTGGTCTGCTGAGTCTTCTAATTTCTTGCTTGGATGTTCCATCCCGTACCAGCGGGGAATCAGTGTCTAGGTTTTTGATCATTCGGATGGTTGTACCATCGAATGAATATTCAACGAGGACTTCATCATCTTCCAGCTGGTAGGTGGAAACATCGGTGACTGGTTCAGCAAGATCGACTCGTCTGAGCCAGGTATCCTCGAAATTGTTGAATATGGGGTCGGCCGGTTTGTTCTTTTCTGTGATTGCTTTCTTCTTTCGTTGTCGTTTTTCCGCTATTTCTTCTAAAGCATACTTCGAACCTTTAGGTAATTTCTTTAAGGGAGAGAAATCTTCAGGGGGTTCATCAGTTATAGTTGCTTTTTGAAGTGGGGGAAACTTGTAAGGTTCTGCCCCGTTTGCCTTTCTTTCGTCATTGATCATTTGTTCGATTTCTGTCAATCGTTTTGTTTGTGTTAAAGAGATGGTGTCGTTTTTCCAATCGATCTCTGGTTGCATGGCAGAAAGCCATGGCTTACCGAGGAGGATGTCGTCATTCCTGGATAGTTTTGTGATGTTGAACTTTCCGAGCATGCATCGCTGGTCAATTTTGACTGTGAGGGTGCAGTAATGCGTTACCTTCCCTGCAGAAGAGTTGCTTCCATCAACTGTTCATATGTGGAAGGGGTCGGTGAGAGGGTGGGTGCTGATTTTATTTTTTCGGACGAAGAGGTGATCGAATGAACGATCCTCCCGCTCCTGAGTCGATTATGGCAGTGGTGGCAATGGTTTTTGCGTACTTGGTAGAAAAAAGCATAATGGGGACGTGGAATTCATTGGACTTTCCGACGGCTTTAGTATACAGTACACAAGTAGAAGGTGCTGACATTGCGACAGTCCTTCGGTTTAAAATTCCATTCCTTTGGCCACCGAGGTTTTCTTGGCTCGTATCTTGGCTACAGGCATTTCTTCATTGTCGTCTTCATCATCGAGCTGGGTAATCCCAGACTGTCCCTTTTCCTCCTTCTCAGGCATGGTCTGCCTGCCTTTCAACGCTCCTCGTTTAGGGTGGAACCTAGGGTCGTTGGCTCTATGTCCTGCTTTCTTGCAAGTAAAGCAGAGCCCTTCTCGGAAGCACTTCTGCCTTTCTTCTTCATCCATGCGGTCAACGTCCATTGCGTTTGGGTCTTTGGCTTCTCTTCTGGGAGGGGTGTATCGGGGGTTTCCATTTCTCTTTTGGAATCCTCCGTTGTTTCGTCCTTCCCTTGCGGTGATAGCCAACAGCTGTTGGTGGTTGTTGTCTAGGTCAACCGCTTTTTTCGAGAGCTTCTCGAATGTTTCGATGTCGCTGTTGTTGATCAGGAGTCTCCAGTGGAGTGTCTTGTCTAGGCCATCCAAAAAGAATTGGTGGAGTGCACTGTTGTCAGTGATGCCTCCTCTTGTGGTGAGTTGTCTAAATGAGGCAAGGTATTCTCCAAGAGAATGGGTTTGCCTGAGGTTCCTCATCTCCGTAAGGGCTGCTCCCACAGAGTCTACTTCTTCGAATGCCTTCTTGAAATCTTTAAGGAAGTCTTCAAGCTTGCTGTATTTTGCCGTGTTAGTTGCATCTTGGGCATGTTCCATGAAGTTGTCTGCCCAGGTGGCGGCTGCTCCTTTTGTCATGTATGACAGATAGAGTATGATTTTTTTCTTATCATCGTCGTAGATCTTTTCGTTGACATCAATGTAGGCAGTGATAGATCTTATCCATCAGTCCGGCATCTTTTCTATCTCCAGAGAATTCGGTGGGTGTACCGATCCGTATTTCTACGGGTTTGGCAGTGGTTCCTGATCCAGACATTGCTGGGTGGATAAGTGGGGGAATGGGTGGTCTAGGTGGAGGGTTTGTTTTTCGTGGAGGAGGAAGCAGACGAAAGTCTTCGTATTCTGATTTGACGTCTTCTGACACAGATGATGGGTCTGATGGTGTGGGTGCTCTTTCCCAAGCGTGACAAGGTCTTCTCGACGCTATCTTTTCTGGTCAATAGTACGCTCTCACGATGGAGAGACGTTCAGGGTAGAAACTTGAATCTTATGTTACGAACTCAGTTGGTTCCGCACTAGATACCCACAAGGAGTACCGATCTAGTGTTGCGTCGAGTTTCAAGGTAAGGCTACTAGATGGAGAGTCTAGTAGAAGATGATGTGAATGTGATAGAAGCGATGAGGCTTGCTATCTAGCTTTTGTGCTATCCCTCTGTCTTGAGGTTTTAGGCGTGATACTGAGTAGATTCAAGTTAAGGACTACTACAGTGTACGGAGTCCTTTATATACGAAAAGCAGAGGATACCGGTTGAACGGTAAGGGTCAAGGGTGGTACCGACAATGCGGTAAGGGCATAGGGTATGAGTCAGAGATGACGGATAAACCAGATAAGCGGTGCGAGAATGATCAGCCAGTATGGATAAGCCAAGCGAACGGTAAGATGGAAGTCGCTTTGGCGACAGATAGCGGTAATGAAAAGATAGGCAAAAGAGAATAAGCTAGTCTGAGGGGCTTATGTAACGTCCCTGTAACAGATATAGCATATATATAGGAAGATACAAAATATGTTCCCATGTATTTATTTCTAGATGGATATACTTGAAGAAATCATCCCCAGTGTCTATTCAACAGTAGGAACAATATATCAGGAGTCCAGAACCATAGGACAAGACCCTGTGATGCAGTACACCTACCCTCTCCTGATGGTTTACCCCCTGTGAATTTTTTTCCTGAGGACCGGACCTCAATGGAAGCCAAAATTGCAGAAGCACAAGGAAGCACCAGGAAGCACTCAAAGGGGTGGGCATTGGTTCCCCAGCAAAGTATGCATACAAGAAGCATGGGGGATCACTGCCCAGTATGCATAACTAGCCTTCTACAATAGCCAGATAGTATTAATACTCCTGCCAGGGTGTGGTGTACTTTTGGGTCACCAGAGGCAGCAGAAGGTGCGGTTGCATATGCACATTGCCAGGCTTCACTGTGGCAAAGCCTTGCCTCCCACTTCAGGTCTTTGTGGCCACCCTTGTAATGCTCCATTGTATGCTCCACCTATAATGCAATCTGTTCCCCATAGACATATCTGAATCAGGAAATGAAGTAAATCAAAGCTAGCGGCTCAGATCCTACTTTGGAGATCAGTTCCTATTGAAAGAAGACCGCCATCTGAGATCCTGATCTTCCATAGTACTATGTCGGAAATTTCCTAAGTCGGTTGCAACAGCATGCCTGTGAGACTTGATTTTGACCATATTGATACCAAGTCAAGATATCGGTACCTAAGTTCTATTCTTAATGCCCAGTAGTAATATTTATACCAAAGTCACTTCATTGATACTGACATGTACTATTGATACCGAGTCTTGACTTTAGTATGTCAATTACAATGTTGTTCCAACAAGCGCTGCAGCACTGCCAACAATCAATTATTGCCACACCATCCTCTTAACACTCCTTCACCATCAACTTCAGCCCTCGTTAGTATCTTCCACTCTACTTGTTACAGTTGCCTCCGAATCAGAGACAAACAGTGTCTGATTCATCTGAATATTACCATCTGGATCTTAGACTCTCAATTCAGAATTTCGCCTAGTAATAATAATTTAAATGTTAGTCCACCGGCCCTTAACTGATTCAGATCCTTCAAGCTTCACCCACCAGCACTTCTCCATCAAAGTACACTATTCCTGTACTGGGTGCCCTTACACTTAGACTGGACTTGAATTGTCCCTGTTTCAACATAGATGCCTGCCGATTTGCAGTGATCCTGTGATCATTGTGGCCAATCCTTCCATCGCCAAGGATTCCGAACACATGAAAAAGCTTGCCAGAAGCGATCAGAACAAAGGTGAGAGGAGATAGAGCTTGCTAGGGAAATTAGTTGAGGTACATCGTCTATAACATTATTATGGTTTCACGCTCGTTGACTAATTTTTAAATTGTAGAATGAGAACAGGCACAACAGAGTAGTGTGTTTATCAGTGAACGTCCATCTGTCAGCGGCTCATCTCTTCGTAAGTCATTGTATTAATACTGATTCATCGGACATTGATGCAAGCTACCATCAATCATTCAGAGGATGTCAATTTTGATTTCAATAATCAGATAGACTATCCAGACGACGCTGATGTGGGACAGACCGATTCCGATCATATGTCTTTATGATTTTTTTTATATTATTGTGTTTGCACCTTACATCCATATAGATCTTCTGCCACTATCTGCAACAGCATCACCTGTACCTCGACACGACATGGATGATATAAAAGTGGAATACCACCCCAGTAGTGGTCGCCCTACCCAAGTGTACCATTTTGAGGACTATGGTCGTGGCACCGGTGCCCCAACAGCTGTTCCGAAAGCAGATCCTGAGCCCTGGAAGCCGTTTCACACTCGTATCGACTTCGAGGTTGCAGAACTTGCCCATGAAGCTGCACTCTCTTACGAGCAGCTGGACTGGCTCATTGAACTCGTTAATTGCAGTAGGTTCGAATTGTTTACCCTCCGGAATCACAAAGATGTGCGAGACATGTGGGAGGCAGCGTCATTCAAAATGACACCTGTATGTACTATTCATTAATGTTGTATGTAAAGTCTATGCTTATTGTGCTCCTTTCATGTAATAGTTTACGAAGGAGGAAGTTGTCGTGCCCTTCCAAGGGATTGATAAGACATTCCTGTTATTTCATCACTCGCTGTGGGACTGGGCTACAGATCTACTTCAAGATCCACAAGTAGGTCTGCATTTCATCTTCAATCCCCAAAGGCTTTTGAAGTTCGACGGCGAGAAGTTTGTTCGGTTCATTCATGAGCCGTGGACCGCGAATAATTTCTGGGAATATCAAGTAGGTCACGTCCTTATTAATATCCTGTTAAGTGTCTGTGTTGTGTACCAACTAAGGATTAATATTGTAGTCGAAAATCCCACCGGAGGCAAAACCTCTTGCATTTATTTTGTATGCTGACAAGGCCAAATTATCGTTGTTTGGTCGTGCGAAAGGTTATCCTGTAGTTGCTCACTGTGCTAATCTTCCTATTGTGGTTTGGAATGGAGAAGGCTTGGGTGAGGGGCGTGTTGTTGGTTGGCTATCTATTGTTTGCTCTACAATTCCTTGCTAATGATGCTGACATTATTAACACTCAGAGCTTTGACAGGTAAAGGAAGATAAGAAGCATTCTGGAAAGCCTGCTTTTGTCAACTTCAAGAATGCGGTATGGCATGCAGCGTTTCTGATGATTCTTGCCTGTCTTGCACCACTATCGAAGTTCGGTTCTGCCATTAAATGCTGGGACAATGTTATTCATGTTTTCTATCCAATTGTGCTCATACTCTCTGCAGACTACAAAGAACAGTATGTATAATTCTATCAGTTCCTTTGGTACTATTAGATAACATCTGGATATGTTCACTGTTGTAGGGCTGTAATGGCATTGATTCGTGGTTTGATGGGCAAATTTCCTTGCCCTATCTGTCTAGTACCTCACAACAAGCTTTCTAATACACTTAATGTGTATCCTCTCTGCACATCCGTAGATACCAAGGCATTACGTGCTTGAGCCCGAGAGTCTACTACATTGCAGGCAAGAGAGCAGATCTTGAGTTCCCAGAGCCTTTGTGATGTTGATGTGGGTCTCTCTTTTGTTTGTATTTTACTTAATAATCTACCATTGTTATCAGAGCTCATTTGATGTCCTCGAGCACACCGATGTTCACAGGGCTCTATCTCATGATAAACTCCACTTCAACGATGAGGGATTGTTCAGTGATCACACATGGGCTGAACTGCAGAAATGGGTTGAATGTTCTGGTCGACAGGCTGCTGTGCAGATTGACAGCTTGTGAGTTATTTTTTCAGCTGGATTTTTGTAGGCATTAATTTAGATTGTCAGCTTTCAATCAGTTCCACATTGGCGAAACCTGAATCACTTTGATCAGGTTATATCAGTATCATTTTCTGATGGAACAAAATATGAAGACATATCGAAGGCAAGCCTAGACTATTCACTTTTTGACATATTATTCACATCAATTTAGCTTATCATCTTTGCAGCACATAATGTGTTTGACTGTGATACGGATCCGGAGGCATATCTCCTGCTCCGTTGTATCTGAAGCTATGTAGAGTTTAATATCTATGCTTCATTAGAGGTCCATACTGAAGACACCATCAAAGATGGCCAAGAAGCTTTGTCAAAGCTCACTGAATTGTTGGATGTATGTATCCCTCATACTAGTATATTATTGATCTGTGGTGTTGATTCAAATTTTACAATCAGAAATACATTGAAGATACAGCAGAGATTTGTGAGAAGTCCTGGAATTTTCCTAAGAAACATCTTTCCGCCCATCTCTTTGATGATATTGAGGCGAAAGGTGTCTCCCAAAACTATAGCACCAAGCCTAACGAGAAAATGCATGGCCCATTGAAAGACACTTATCAAGATTGCATGAATTTCAAGAACTTTGCTGAACAGGTAAGCGATTTCTGAATCCAAGTCTGTGTGATAATTTAAATTTTAAAGATTCTCTGATACAACCATGACAGCCTGGTTGTAGAATATATTCACAGCAAGTTGGATTACCTCGACACTTGGAATCTCAGTGTGTCCAATTCAGAAGATCAACCTGATACTGCACTGGAGGCCGATGAAGTTGATCCGACAGAACTGACTGATGCACAGCATTTGAGTCTTGGTTCAAAGCAGGCAGCAATGTCATTCATAGACATTGAGGCAGGTAGTGCGGGTAACCCAGCATTTGACAGATTTCGGATCAAGCTAAACAGCTTTCTGAACCATTCATTTGCCACCAACAAGATACCATTTCCGGATGGACGACGGATCCAACTGACTGCCAGCGAGATGGTGAGTTGATGATGTTTGCAGCTCCAAAATGATATAATTTGTATCTTACTCTGAGTCCTGCTCAGATCATGGAATATTGATTCCTTAAAGTCAATTTTGAGTCATTTGTCGACTGGCGAGTGTCAACAGACTACCTTCGATGCACGCCAATGTTCCACGGCTCACCACAATATGATTGTATCATCTTGCAGACCGACACTCACATCATCTTTGGTAAATTGATGTCGATTTTCACCTGTACGGTAGGGGATGTTCAGTATCCTATCACGCTTGTTCTTCCATATGACCAACTGGTTGGTGTTCATCCACAAAAGGACAAAGACTTTCAGTTTTGGCAGGTTAAGACAAAGCCTAGGGCTTCCACAGAGTTTTTTTCAGTTTACTCAATTATTCGGGGTTGTATGATAGTAGAGGATCCCAGAAGACCTGTCGAGTTTTTGGTTGTTGACACTGTTGACACGGATATGTTCCTTCAAATGCAGGACATCCACAGCCAGTGATTGGATTCTTACTTCCTCCCTTATCTCTGAATCCCTGCCTTAGACTAATAGCCACCTCGATCCTCATCAGAGCAAACCCATTTCTTGCCATTATGGTCTTCTTCCATCTCGCGATACATGGCACCTCAGACTGTAACTACTGTAACTCCCCCTCCCCCAACAGCTTCCTCAAATTCAACACCTCAACCATCACCTCACCATTCGGCCTACTCATAAATCTCACTCCCAATCCAGCAGCCGATCCCAATTCCCGTGTCCATGCTACTTCACAGGACATCAAGGACCTACCTCCTTGACACTGCCACTGATGAAAGGAGTGCTCTCAATGCCCACGACCAACAGCCACAGTCTCCCCATGCTGTGTTGGCTGCCCCCCAGTCCAAGGGTATCCCCACTAGGTCCATTAGATCAACCTGGCGAACTCAGGACCTATCAAACCCATATTTTGCCCCTGCCGTCATGGGCACCCCAGGGTCAAGTGCAAATATCAGTGCGTGCCTTTTTTCATGAATGGATCTTGAGTTGATGACATAGCGCCAGCTCACAATGGCTCCCCACGAACATCTCCTAATGCCATCGTCCCTGCCATAGCACCAGCAACTCCACCCACTATTCCTCCCACCACCTCTTTCCCCCCAACCAACTCAATCGGCCAGCACATCTGCCGCCAATGTGGTTTACCAGGGCGCTACAAAGACAGCAAGTGCGTAGAAAAATGGGGACCTGGGCCAGAAGGGCCCAGTACTGTATGCAACCGCTGCAGAAAACAAATGAAGCATGTAGAATGGCGGGGGACGACCAATGCAAATGTGGGTGGCAGTAGTAATGCCAATGCAACTCAATTGCACCATATGGATACCATGCTCGTATTCTGATACAGGTGCAAGTGTTCTGAATACCGTGTTCACTGTAACTACTACATCAGGAAAAACTATATCTCTATATAGAGGACCATCCTCTATATAGCCCCGATAGCACACCACAGCTCTATACAGTCTATGGCAAGCTATCACAGCACTATAGACCAGTATAGACATCATGAAAGTCTATATATTACCATAAAGTTTGGTAAGTGTATTTAGAAGTAAAACATTTCAACAACTATAGACCCCAGTAGATCGTGGGAACTTTTTTCGATGAAAACCAAAGTTGTAGTCCTTGTCTAGGGAAGTCTATCCATAGTCTTATGACTTCAATAGGTTAAGATCCTAGTGAGTTATAAGGAAAATACTCGAAATTGAAGGGTTCAAGAAAGCAACTTGACCATGGGAACTTTTTTCGATTAAATCAAAGTTGTAGTCCTTGTCAAGGGAAGTCTATCCATAGTCTAATGACTTCAATAGGTCAAGATCTTATAGTACGGTATTAGTTACGTCCTACCAAAACTAATATCTAGTCCATCCTCTGAGATTTTCATTCATACCATGCACTAAAAAGGCGCGTTTCAATGGATTGTCAATATGATTATGTCAGCATTTAATTGCGTTTTCTCACTAAGTTCACTGGTTGAATTCAACATTCAATATTGCAACTTCTCAATCTTAGTCCCAAGCCAATTGGGACCACAATTCAAGCACATTCAATGGATGTCAAGCAAGTGCAGGTGAGTCTGCATCATTAGTCTTCTAGGTCAAAGCATGTTGAGCTAATAGCATGACGTCTGAATCTCTCAGTTATAAATATTAAACAGCGCTTAGACTGTTTAACATCGTCATCAGTCCCAATAGTGCATTTAAGTTTCAATTCCAGCTGGCCATCAGCACTTAGAGATGGCACCACACAGGTAAGTTGCCTCATGTCATATTGTCATTCACCTGCATGCTGATTTCAATTACATGTCAAGGCTATGCACAATGTAATTGCCCTTGTGTTTTCTTTCATCATGTTGTTTGGTCCCAATGGTCCAAGTTGCGCAGCCAATATTTTTGACTATAAATGGTGGGTCCGTCCATCATTATTGTCTGCACTGTGTTTTACTTGACTGTACCAGTTCTCGTGATGCCTCAGCGTCCCATCGCACATGATGACTTGGAGTCTGAGTTAGACTACAATGACGTATCTGAATCAGATGCACCATCATCTGTCACAGTAGGGATCTCGTCAACCACTCAGTCATCGGCTTCTGTGCAGGGTGGAGACATGGAGGTAACGTTAATGCCTTGCTTCGCTCACATTTGGTGACTCTAACTTTGTGCATCTCAAGATCATTCAAAGTCTGCAACCAGAAAACCAGTCGCTTAAAAATAACAATAGGACTCTGGGAGAGAAGAACAAAATCTTGGCATCCAATCAACGTCGACATTCAAGTGCGCAAGTTCCTGATGAGCTGAAGGCTTACAACATTGAACTCTTGACCTTTGCCCACAAATATGGTGTTATTGCTGAGATGTTCCCACCTGAGCACCGCGTTCTCAGATTGCCCATGCCAAACCCTCCACCCATCATCATATCTGCTAGTCACTATGCAAGCAAGAGTGCCAAAGAACTTTGTCTTGTGACAGAGGTGTATTCACTTCTACCGGATCACTTCCATCATTTCGTACCTACTTCTCATTTTCAATCATTGGTACATTAGTTCATATATTTCATTGTGCGACCAAACACTGATTGATATGTATTGTAGCTAGAGCAGCATCTCCAAGGCGGGCGCTCGAGTGAGATCGGCAAACTACGCTTGATGGCAGGGTGTATCTTTGGTCTGGATTCATCCTACTTTGACCTGAGTTTCATGAAGCAGGATACCATTCCTAAGATCCAGAAGATGCTTGGACCAGGTACCACTGGTGGTCGCTCCTCTCTGTCAAAATTTCCGCCCATTCTTTTTACAAATCAAGAGATGGACCCCACAATGTCCATGGTGTTCGGTAATTGGGAACCGCTTGCAAAGGTAATTTTTTAAGCTTCACTCTTTGAAGAATATTGTTTGTGCTAACGGATCTACATAGGCAATTAGGATCATGATGTTTGGAAAGAATTCACTAGACATTTCCGGGTGGCCACGTGCTAAGTGCAATGCTTGAAAATGGGGCACAACATCCTGTACTCCCGGTCTTCTGGCATGGGGTTGGGTCGCAGTGAGTTCTATTTCTGCTATGGTCGATCGTCTGAATCAGCATCTAACTATTATTCTTTAGTTGATCTTCATCCTTTCTCCCAACACTTCATTCACGAAAGCTGGAGTTGGCGCAAAGTCTCGGCTACCATATGCTGCCATGTTTACGGCCTACAAGCAGCTGTGGGTCACCCTTTGGGATCAACCTCGTATTTGCTTGATCCGCAAAAAGATCGATGCCTATGTCTGGCAATTGTCCTCGACTTCCAATGTTGCGATGTCTGACACTGATGGCGAAGACTTTACCTCTGATCTGATGCATTTGGCCATCGCAAATGCAGGGTGCAAGGAATCCGACTTTCCTGGACCGACTACCGACAACGATATTCCTGGACCAGTCACCCCCATTTCACCCATAGTCATTCCGGCAGCATCTGAATCAACCCTCCCTCCTGAACCTGCAGTACCGGTCATTGTTCCTGCTGTACTGGCCATCCCAGTGCTTGGCCCTGCAAAAACTACCACCGCTCCCAATCCCAATCCTACAACCCTCCTGCCTGCTATTCTGACCCCAACTGTGGCATCTGCAGGCACAGCTGCTGTTACAGTCACTGCGGCCTCTGAATTCCCTCCAGCAGCTGCTATTGAGGTTCCTGAAGTACCCAATGATGTAGAGATTCTACCAGTGGCGGCGGCAGCTCCATCCTCTGGTCGTCAGGGCCGAGGAAGGAAGGCAGGGATGCTGGTGCCTATGTTGAGTGGGCCAGCAGGTGAGGAGGCCAGCTAACCAAAACAATCCCAGAAGAAGTAGTATTAAGGACCACCACCTACAGACTGCTATTACTGTATTATTTGATATGTTTTGTTGAGGATGGGTGCTAGTTGCAATTGGATTTACTTGCTCTCAATGATATTTGAATTGAATTGAAACCTGCCTGTTTGTATTCCAATGTCGTTGAGACACACTTAGGTTATTTGGATAAGCCCTGGGATCTAGATTTCAAGGTACCGCAAAATCAGCTTGGACAGTTGCAGCTGACGGTCAATATTGCTGACTGGGTTGAAACCCTGATTGAAGGCACGATTGTGACACAAATGTAATGTCACACTCTTTTATTGCAACCTATTGGGACCTCGGCTTGTCATTGGATCATTGCAACACATTACAAGGCGATGAAACCCAATTAGGAAATTTCCGACATAGTAAGCGGACAGTGGAACAACAGAAGCATAGATATATCACCTGGATGAGATCCTGATCTAACAGGTGGACAGTATGATATATCACCTTTTATCACCCTTGCAAACTGAAGGCAGGGATATATCACGGCCTCTCTCTAATGAAAGCAAATGATATATTATATTGACAGCATCTAGTGCTGTCACAGAACCTATTAGGTCAGATTCACCATGGCCAGAGGTGATGATTGCACATCATAGCATCATTATGAACAGACACAACTCTTTTGCGTCACCACAACGTTGTGTCATAACTGTCAGGTCTTTTCCTGGAATACCCAAGCAAGTGTACTGCGTAATACGTACTAGACCGCAGGGGAGGAAGCAAAAGGTTGTCTGACTATCAGAAGGTTTGTGCGAATTTCTTCACTTCCATGAACCGCCAGACGACACTTTATCTTGCCTTTTGCATTCGTTTTCTTTAAGTACACGGTTGTGTGTGCCGATCACTCCATCGTGTGCAACACACCAATTCATTTTGAACACGAGCTTTCAATACTCGGTTTGATGTTTTTCCCTAGGAATTTGCTGAATGATATTAACACCCTCGACATCAGTAAAAAACCAAAATCATGGGAGTTCCAGTGACAGCTATATAGCACTATAAAGGTACAGTAGCGCTATGTAGCTGTCACTAGGGCTATGTAGAGCTACAGGAGGCTCCAGGAGTGACCTGGAGTGATGGTAGCAAATATGTAGCAAATATTTGTTCCTGTAGCACGCAAGAGTGCTGTAGTAAGCTGTAGTTCACCGTGCTACAGGTAGCTACAGGAGCTACCAGCTTTCAAGGTCTTCATACCACTGCATACAGCTTCACCAGCAGTAATCTTCACTAAGACAAACATATAATACATGAAACAATGTAGCAAGCTTTAGAATAACAACATTACTACATAGTAGCTGTTGTGTTGTGAGCAGAGTAATTCAATGAAATTTCTCCCAAGTCCGCAGTAGCTTGTTAAATACTATTATATATGATATATTTTAACAGCCTGATAGCCTAATGGTATGTGCGCCGTTGCATCAATGTTGGGTGAGAAAGTTAATGGTCAGTTTGAGAGTTCGAATCCCCTTGATTAATTAATTATTTTCATGCATATACCTTTTGCGATAGTTGCCTGTAGTAGTACTCCTACGAACTACAGTAGTACCTGGTAGCGCTACATAGTACGACATAGTTGCCTCACTTGCTACATACAGGGCAGGTGGCAACAGAGCTACACGGACTACCCTGACTATATCATAGTATTATGGGAGACCGGTTTTGTGGCTGTGTGTGGGAGACGCGTATTTCGCTAAGGCCACATGGGAATGCTTAGCTCAGCTTAAACCTCGATTTAGAAATTTCGCGTGGTTCTGTCAATCGGAGTTTCAATTTCAAAAAACTGTTCTCCCTTACTATACGACCTCACTGTCCAAAATTGGTTATATGTAAAAATTGAGCCACAACAAGGGGAGGAACACCAAGCAAATAGAAAAATGTGAAAACAACAATGATGTATATATGTACTGTAATTTATTGTGTATACATAAAAATGTGAAAAATGCGAAAATATAAAGATAGGAAAAATGGGCAATGGGTAAACATGGGAATGGGAAGGTGGAGAATGGAGAAATGGGGTGAATGGGAGATGGGAGGAGGATGGGAGAACAGGAGAACAGGAGAATGGGAGAACGAGAGAATGGGAGGGAGATGGGAAATGAGAAATGAGAAATGAGAAATGGGAAAGCAGAAAATAGGACAGAGACACGGGAGAATTTTTTGGGAAGGGCAAGAGTCAACAGCAAGACACAAACAGTGAGACTGAAGTTTACCTGGGACACTGGCTTGCATCCCACTGGCTGAGGTATGAGGCCACGGGATTGCAAGCCAGTGTCCCAGGTAAACTTCAGTCTCACTGTTTGTGTCTTGCTGTTGACTCTTGCCCTTCCCAAAAAATTCTCCCGTGTCCTCTGTCCTCAGAACTAAAATAAAAGTATATAGTATTTTGTAAATGTAATATGTAGACATGTGCCGAAGGCACAACGGGTGTGGGCTAGTAATACTATGTAGTGAGCCGGCATTTTCCTGATGGAGGAGTCAACATGCTGGCCATGCTTCCAAGGTCAAGGGTATTTAATTCTGACAGGTCCAATTCCCTTCTCGCACAACCTCAAGTCTTGCACCCCACTTCGCTCACACTGATACAAATCTTCAACGACAAGTGATGCGCGAAGACCATAGGCCAGATCCTCCAGAAGCCCAGAGATCCGGCGAAGCGATCGCTGGTGAGAGCCCGGTACGTGACCGTGACTCGTGGCATCACTTTTGCTGAGCGTTCATAGAATTCATTGCTGCTTCTCACGTGTTATGCTTCATCCAGAGAAAACCCTGTAGCGGAATCTGGCAGTCCCTGCGGAAAGTTACTTACATGATTACGATTTTTCCGACATCAGAACAAATAGATATTGAATCAATCTACCATAGCACTAACACGAGAATGCTATTGACTCTTACACAAGCACAAATGTATAACATGTACCACGAGCAAGAACTACAGGTGTGGTACAAAACTAGTCCATGCCACTATCTTGTATGCGTCAGGAGGAAGGTTGCGTAAAGTGGTGAACATGAGTACGAAGAGGATAGAACGCGATATGATGTACAATATGGGACACGCCATGGTAAACATAAATCTCACTACTTCGTCAATTTTGCCAGCTGTCGGTATAAACTTGAAGAGGAAGGCCACCACGAAAGCAAGCAAGGGTGCGACAATTATAGTGACGGCACATACGCGCCATGTGACCTCCTCTTCGTATGTGGGGAAGACATAGAACCAAGCAGTACAATGGATGCCGCCAAAGAGGGTTGACACGGTAATTCCAGTGAGCGTAAGAAGATTACCTTCCCAACGTTTTAGGTTGATGTTGTGCATATCATCATATGTTGGAACTCGTAACTTTCGAGGGGACATGGCATCAACGCCAATGACGAGCAGGATTGAGTTGATGAGTGAAGGAACAACCCTCTCGGAATGCACCGCCCCAAGGTCATCATTTTCAGAGACACTAAGGGGAACATAATCAGCAGTGGTAGAATTGATTGAGGCACAGACGTACTCATCAAAATAGTCATCTGCCGGTTTGGGCTCGGACGACTTCCAGTAGACTGGATGAGAACATTGTATGTCGATAGGCTTATTCCACCACACAGCATAGGTAATGAAATTGAGAACCGCAAAAGCGAGTGTCGCCGCCTCAATCTGTGTAGTCTCGAGGTGATAAATGGCACGAGAAATGAGCTGCATAATAAACCAAGACACCTGAAGGGTGACCAATCCTTTTGATATCATATTCCCTTTGCTACGGTCGCGGATCTCCTTTACCGTCAGGGTAGGGAAATCGATAGATCCAGCACGTATCAGTCGGAGAAGTTGGTGGGGCAATAGTATATGGTAGGGCTCCCCGTCCACATAAAGCATGAAACCGCCCATCAGCGCAAAGAAGCTGTGAGTCTCAGTCCATTCGTAATCTAAAGATGCGCATGAGCAAGATTTCAGGTATGGTTTGAGAGAGCATGAGTCAATCTTACTTTCGGATTGCTCTGAAACACGGTAGACCTTAAACCACTCCTTGGATGACTCCGCAAGAGTATGGTTTCCCTCACATACTGAATTGGAGTACTATGAACTGCCGAAGAAACACTAGTCCAGATGGTTCACCTTTAGTATGCGCCACGAGAGCCTGAGTCACCGTGCCGGCATGATCTTAAGAAGCAGCAAGCTATAAGAACCATGTTCAGAACAACGTGTTAAAGAGACTCACCTTCAGACCGCTCTTGGGGATGATAGCAAACACTGAGATGTGACTCCTTAACCTGTGCTGTAATTTGACGAGCCCAGAGCCACTGGCGCATAGCCCATCCAACGAGCAGGTCAGGAGCGAGTAGTGCGATTCCCATGGTACCAACCCGCCGCAAAAAAATACGAATGGAGCTGTCCTCAGGGCTCGGAATGTTGAGGTGAATGGAACTGTAAATGCATGCCAGCAGAGTCAAAGCACACGTAGAGATGATGTCCCATAGGGTTCGTTGGTTTGCGCATGTTGACGATTCAGAGGACCACAGGGACTCAGGACTATCACTGGTATTAGTAGTAGGTGCAGCTTGGATCACTCGAACAAGGCAGAGAATGCAGAGAAGTAAGCGCATTGTTCAATGGCGGTTTTGGGGAGGAGGTTTCAAGATGTTGTATATCAAACATCTTGAACGCTCGCTATTAGTACTCCGTACCTCATGGGAGTGCACCTATAAGTACTATCCTAATAATTATTGTTATAACTAAGTCTAATTAGATACAACTCTCCTTCCTTGTCACAAATTCTGGGGCTGTCCATGATGGATAATGTTCGGCACCTTCATACCCTTTCATACCCTCTTCCGCTACACCACACCTCTTGTTTTAGCTTTGAATTCTTCCGCACCTTCCGCTTCTCCACGATCCGGATCTCATCACCCCGTCAAAGAATACCTACACACCGTGTGCCCTGGACCTTCGGGATCCCATCAAGCGCCGCTAGTTTCTGCACCACGTGGTGCCTCTGGTGCCTGCTGCCCTTTGCACTGTCAGGACTAGGCGGAACAACATATTCAAGGCTCTGGCAAGTATCTCCGATGGGCCGTATGTACATTTCTACCACGGCACTGAATGCACAAGACCATCATGGAAAGTGCTTTAGCAGTCGTACGAAATACTAGGGCAATGTTGGCTTCACTGACTCCTCAGCGCTCTTTTGGGTTCGAACCGTGATTTTGGACCGAACGATGGCAGCACTAGAACTTCATGCATACTGACAAGGACCTCGGAGATTCAGCACTATCACTGGTATTAGTCAGTGCGGCTTGGATTACTCGAACCAGGTAGAGGGAAGTAAGCGTATTGTTGGATGTCTCTTGGACGCGTGCTCCACCCGCCTTCGATGGGAGACTGTGCCATTTTGGCAGCAGGTAAACTCTGACATTCACTCTCGTTCTTCAACTCGCTGCCTTGCTACAGTTTTAATGCATCACTACCGCATATCGGCATATAGGGTGCTCACCATTCATAAGTATGGCGAGTCGAGAAGCGCGGGAGAACCTCCGAAGACTAAGGCCTGTGAGATGAAAATGAAAATTCAAATGTGGCAGAGCCCGCTACGGGATGATGCATATACCGTCACACCAGCAACGTAGCAGCGCGACGCGGACAAGCCAACATGCTTACAGCAGATGCATCAGAGAACAGTAGGTTAGACACCTCAGTCGGTGCCAATAAGGGGTCTTTCGGACCCGGTTTCTATATTATGGGAAACTGAGCTGAAAGACCCTTCATCCATCAGGCCTGGGCTAACAGCATCTTCTGCCTCATTGCCCTCCTCTTGCGCACCTCGTTGCCCTCCTTCTGAGCCTCGTTGTGATCTCTGCATCTTTGAAATGACTCGTTCGCACCTCATTGCCCTGATGCGTTTCAGTGGTTGAATTTGCCTATTTTTGATGGCGTGGCCGCTGGGCTTGTTAGGCTATGTGTACAGAAGTTCAGTGGTGCCGCCTCCTATAGTAAGTGGCCCTTCCGCAGACATTCATTGGTATGAGCATTGAATGCTTTCCTCTGTGTACTTACTCGCACAGCTCACAGTAGGGAAGACCTGATTAGCATCACGAAAGAAACTCACCATCGCGACTCGTCTACAAAAAAAAATTGTTCAGCTCGAGGTTTCGTGCTACAGTTGTTTTGCCGACACCATTAGAACCTGTTATCACAAGGTGCGTGTCTGGCTTGAGGGTTAGGGTGAGTGCGCGGACGAGGGTGGTTGAGTCCGCGTTTGTATCTGTGTTTGGGGTGGGTACGAGGTCTGAGTCTGGGATGAGCCAGAGGTCTGAATTTGCGAGAGGTTTTGTAGTGGTGTTGGTAATGGGATGGGAGGAGGGTTTATGTGAGGAAAACCAAGCTGGGGTGGTGTGAATGCAAAGATATATTCAGGAACGCCTACGTCGATGTCTTTGAGCACGAAGGTTCGTTATGCCAGAATGAGATCTGTCGACGTACAATGAATATAGACAGGCCACTCACCGGCCAGTCAATCCAGCAACCTCTTGCAAATCTTTATATTCACACATGAGTCTCCCGCCTGAATCTGCGAGTGAGAGGAGAGGACGGTTGGAGATGTATGCTGTACGGTTCATCAGTATTCAGTTCAGGGTTCTCTAGCAGATCCAAGGCAGAACGAGGACCGAATCATACACAGAACGCGAACCCCAAAAGAACGAAAATCGAAACCGAACCCAGAAAAAGTACACTTACTTTCCATCCTAACGGCAGCGACACGATCCACATCCTTCTGCTTCCTTCCTTCACCAACTTCACCACATTTATCTTCTCCATCTGCGACACGAGAACGACGATGTTTCTTTGTTATAATGAGCGGCACAGCTATCAGCCCGTACCCAGCTGCGGACCAGAGGTACTTGATGACGGAGTCTTCTGTCCATTCGTATGCGATATGGATCTGGGTGGAGGAGGTTGGCTGAAGGTTTGGGAAGGATACTGGGTTTATGGGATATTGGGAAAGAGGAAGGGATGGGAGGATGAGGTATATTTGTGATAGAAGTGGGGAATTAATGTTTGGGAGAACGAGACGGAGATCCGAACAGTCGAAGAGAAATTGGACGTCGTTACATGAAGGACAGGGAGGGAAACAAAGCAGAATGCCAAAGTAGAAGCATGTGCGAAAGAAAACTCAAAACCCGCCTCAAGCTTGTATATCGAATTGACATGATTGATCAACGTGAAGCACCTGGACCTCACGTATTAATTAACTAATTAGCTTGGTATTCCCAGGGGGGAGCGCCAACCTAATTAGCCCGGAACCTATCAATCACATACACTGCCAGTATATAGCTCAATAAATCCTGAATCCCAGTCAGATCCTACTCCACGCTCAGCCGCTTACTATCACTTCGTTTACTAAAGACGTGAATCACCGCAAAGTGGTGTGTGTCGATGACTTGTATAACTAAACCACTTTGCGGTCTCTAACGGGGAGCGTCTAGAACGGCTCCAATAATCATATAGTGTTAACTAACAACATAGTGCGAGAACTCGCAAAACAAGACCGGGCGCACGCCTAACGACGAGTCTTGTTTTGAGGGTCTCGAAGGACGAGAGTACTACGGTTGATACGAGATGTTACTTCGTAAGTGAAGATGACATATTGCTTTCGTACGGTGGGGGAGGGGGTTTCGGTCTTGCGGATCGGCTTTAGCCGAGGAGAGCGTCTCGAGTTGACATCCGATAAACTAATGTGAATGTCGCAGCTGTCCGATTCTCTAAGACTTCAACGTTAGCAAGCAATGTTCTGACCGCTGGTCACGTGATCTGAAGAACTTGTCAGACGCGACGCGACGGAACTAGAACCAATGTGCGAAGTCCTTTCTGAATGTTCTGGACAACTGAAAGAGTCGAGGACAACGAGACCACAAAGAACAGACCGAAAACCTCGAGTGAGGTATATGGGGGCGAAAAACAGGTGCACGACGCTACCCACCCCGAGCAAAGCTCACATCCCAGTCGGGACCTGCGGCCCCCGACTCCCCCTTACGGAGTTTGCACAAAATCGATAACATACTGTGAAAGGAAAGGAAAACAATTATTTGTAGCGACGAGCGTAAGAGTCCATTGATGAATGAATCAGAGAAATACGTGTGTCCGTGAACAATGAAGTAACGAAAAGGGGAAGAATAGACTCGATTTTGCGCCAATAATCCAGGAAGGCCCGAGACTTCCAGCGGCCTTGCATCACCACGACATCGGGTGGGATACCCCTCAAGAGGAGTTCCGATGCGCCGCCGATCCTGAAACAATGTCCTGTGAGTTCCAGAAGACCAGCTCCTTTCCAGATCTGGTTGCAACGAGCGAGGAACCAAGGCCTTGTCATGGAGGCCCAACTCCTGCCTGCTGTCTCATAGGCAAAGAGTGGGGCGTCGGGTGGAACGTTCGAGTTGGCTGCGAGGTGATGATTGAGGGCAGAAACGGGATTAGTTAAGTTGTCGATCTTCGATGCGACAATGTCTGCTCCGTCTCCATGAGTGGTCTTCATCCACGGCAAATGAAAGACGATGAAGGGCACTTGGTTGGGTAATGAGCGATGACGAATAGAAGTAGAATGGGTGATGTGTCTAAGAGGGTTAAATGAGCTGGGAGAATCAGTGACAAGTTCACCGAGTCTGGGAACATCAGAACGAGTCGTGATCTGAAACATGTGGCATACCTGCAACAACACCAGAATGCAATGCACGCCACAGCAAAAACGGGGGTACGACCTTGGCCAGGCCTGCTGTGGCCGAATGCACTAGAGCGTGGCCGAACCAGGGTGCACCATGCAAGTTGTGCCAGAAGTGCAGGCCTGTGAGCCAGTTCTGAGCTGTGGTGGTGGTGACTTTACCAGCCCAAGAAGCGACAAAAGCTGCAAGAAGGTGGTTGGATGCTGGCATACGGGAGTTTTCGGGGATGAGCCGTGAGTCGCAGAATTGGTGAAAGCGAAGGAGCCCAGCTCCATAATTCTTGTGTGTTTTCGACTCAACGGACACCAACATGACATCAAAAAGTTGCAAAACATCTGCCATTGGCAGGTTGTCAAGAATGGAAGAATGAAAGGAGTTTGAGTGTGGTGTGAACCAGCGACGTAATCGATCACATGCAAGAACATGAGGATGGTAAAGGGATGATGCGAGTTCATTTCCAGATTTCGGTTTTCTTGGCCTTCTATGATGGTGAGTGACACCTGGCGGTACCCCCACTTTAGTAGTGCTGCCAAAGTCCAGTTCAGTCCGGTTCTCTGGCAAAATTTTCCGAATGCCAAACTGAACCCTAGGTTCAGGTTCGGCTGTTGGTCGAACTCTGGACCGAACACCTCTGAATGCGTTTGGGAGGTCCGGTTCACGTTCGAACCAGGTTCAACCTCAATGCATGGGTGAAAAAGTCCAAGGAAGGCTGACATAGTATTGCCTGTAGAAGATGGGTTCAAAATGATTGGGGGTGGTTGGATGCAGACGTCAGTCACAGATCAGTGTCCTGAGATCTTTGAAAACAGTGAGGTGAGGAAGCGGCTGCACACCTAGCTCGTGCAGAAGTTCAGAACACCAGCATAAAATCTAATCATATTAAATATCGAGCATCGAGCTAGTGTCAAAGAGAACAACCGCTATCATGATGCCAAGTTGCCGCCATAGGATGCGCAATGGGCTGTCCTTAGGACTCGGAATATTTGGATAGATGGCTGTGTATATGCATGCGAGCGCCGTACTGCTTGTGAGACGCCTTGCCCGACAGTGTTTGCGTTGTGCTCAGAGCTTGGTGACAACTCGAATGACAGTGCATCTGAAGGTCATTTCATTCCCATCCACAGGTCAAAGTGTCTAGATTGATCTCGGCTTACCATGATATGAGACATCTCACGTTGATAGCCTGACAAATAAGCCAAGCGCCAAAGTATCTCCGTGCCACGCCAGGGTTCAGCTCCTGTTCAAAAATGGATCATGAACACACTGGAGCCGATTGCAACACATACCTGTGATGGAAGCAGAAGACAAGTGCAATCAAGCGCCCAGAATCGTTCTGTGGTAGTTGAAGCATGGCCTCCTCATTGCCAGTGAGAAGGTTCTTGATCAGGGCGTTGCAGGCACTGCAATCATGATCATAGCATTGAGCAAGAGACAACTTGCAATTGGAAACAAAGGTTTGATTGAAATATGAAACACTATTAAAGCACAAAATAATGTACATACTGTGAAACCATACAGTATCAATGCATCGACACGAGACAAGGGTCCCATTGTGCACATATAGGTAGACTATACAAGTCCGATCATGCCATGCGAGTGGCGTTGTGACAGTCCTTATTCCAGACAGACAGTCTCTCAAGCACGGACTTGGTGAGTCCACAGAAATGAACATCATAAGTACTGAAACGCAGATTAAAAAATGTGTGAAACCTACCCAAAAATTCTGAGGTTCGAACCTGTTCGAACCTATTCACCGTCAGCCAAACCCCAAACCTCTGAAGAGGTTCGGTTCTGAGTCTTGGCCGAACCTAGGACCGGACCATGAGTCCGGTTCGGAAAGGTCCAGGTTTGAACCGAAGTTCTGAACCGGACTGCAGCAGCACTACACTTTAGAAGGCATTGCCAGTGCCTCCCACAGCAGGGCCAGTGCAGCCACTGCGTCAGCATGGGCTGACACGGTGCTGATTGTGTTACTGGACATAAGAAACAAGGAATGGGGTAAGCTTGTCTGGGAGCTGTAGCAAAGGGAGACGAGAATAGCGCATGCTGATCTCACCGTGAGAGACAGTGTCAGCCCTGTTCTGAGCAGATTCGACATAAGAAAGGACATGAAAAACATTGGTAGACATGGCGATAGCTTCAATGCGCCGAATGCAGAGGTTGACCTGAAAGTTGTGGCTCCTGCCCCACTGGAAAGCTCCGATAATGCCCTGGTTGTCAGAACGTATAAGGATTGAGGCATCCCTCCATCCAATGTCAAAAAGGGTGCGTATGGCGAATCCCACTGCAATGGCTTTGAGCCAGCCGATATCGCAACCATTGCCTTTCCAGCCATCTATTAAGGTCCAGGTGTTCCACTTGTTTCCCAGCACTAAGCCTATCCCCCAGTCTGTGGAGGTATCGACCCACAAGTCTAAGTCTTGGATGGCGCCCCTTGGTGTCAAGTTACAGGGAGGGGGGTTATGGGAGAGAACAGCAAGCCACCACCGTAAGTCACCCTTGACTGATGGTGAAGGGTGGCAAGTCTGAAATTTAGATCTCTGTGGGAACTCTGACACGAACCCTGACAGGTTTGCCAAGTAAGCCCTACCGTGTGGTATGATGAAGGAAACATACAATAAGGTTCCATTGACATTCATTGCCTCTTTATGGGTGAGACCGCCACCAGCTGAGACCTTTGCCAGTGCGAGGTCGACCTTACGGCAATACTTCTCACACTTGTCAACCGGCAGCTCAACAGAGTGAAGGATCAGGTTCCAGAGGAAGCCGAGGTAAGTGAATATGAAGGCAAACTCATACCATTTTCATGGGTGCCACGGTACCCCCAAGGGCTTAGAGTGATCGTAAATCTCCTGGAGGCTGTGTGTATAAACAAAAGGTGAAACGGAACCATCTGGTTGTCTCTCCCCCCGCTAGCTGCAAAGTGGAAGAATGTGTGGTCATTGACCCATTTCTTTACCAGACCAAGGTGTAGATTGTGTAGAATATCGACTGTGGCGTCGGTGACGTTTCCTTGTATGCCCCCAGTGGTGGAGAGTCTGAATGGGAAAATGTGATTGATGAAGAACGAGTTGTCGATCGCCACCACAATGAAGCACTTGTGCTGCAGCCAAACAGGCACCATACAATATGCGGCTTCGATGTCCAGGGTAGCAGCTTGTGTTCCGGGTGGAGCTGATGCCACCTGTAATGAAAAATGTGAGCGACGTGCAAATACACATGTATGCACCCTTCACACCCCGTCATCCGACGAACGAACGCATATGCATTGCACTAAGGCACCGTCATTCAATGTGTGCACGCATCCGTGTGTAGACCATACAACATCATCCGACGTGTAAAGAAAAATGAACTTACGATTTCAGCGACCTGAGCAGCTGTTCCCCATTCTGTGGGGAAGTCATCGGCGTCGAGAAAGCTATTCACCGCGTAGCCGTCCTTGTTTTTGTATGAGAGGTCTCGCACAATGTGGAACTTCCCTGGCTCTCCAGACTTCTCTACCAGTCTCAAAGGAGATGGAACAAAATGACCACCCAGAATGTGATGCACTTCATCCTCTGAGAATGGGCCTGACATGCAACCAAGGTTTACCTCTTCTGTACAGTAATCAATGAGCACGTCTGGATGTTCTAAGGCTGATTTATGGTTCGCCAGAGTGTAGGTGTGGGTAAGGGGGGACATATCTCCAATTGGGAAACCGTTGTGCATGTTGAAGGTCAGTGATGGGTATTTGTCAATGAGGTTGAATTTGTCCAAGAAGAGGTCGTATGCGTCCATGCAATAAGGAGTTATGATTTGGTGAAACAAATCCTCAACAGGATTTTGAGGCAATGCCATGGGAGCGGCTTCCGCACTGGGAACAGACGTGTAAGATTTCTGTTCCATGGCAAGCCACGCATCTCCCGAGGTTATAGGCAATGCAGACAATTTCCTTCGAGGACTTGAGAACGATTTTGCCATCGTGACACATGCTGACGGGAGTAGTGCCTTTGACCGTCTGTGTATGTGTACAACCGTTCGATTTATGTCCGATCTGACTGCAGATAACGCAAAGGAGGTGGTCAGTTGAATTCCCTCCTTTGCTCCATGAAAGGACTGTCCGTCATTCGAAGACGCAGAAGGGTTGTCAGGCTTTCTGGGAGGATACGGGTTGAAATGGTTCCCTCCACTGGAGGAGGGAGCAGCGTGGTCCGCTAGATGTGTGTCTATCCTCACTTCGTTCCAGCACTGCCTATATGCGCCTGGTTCGAGGAACTTGAAGGAAGTAAAGAACCTACAACGTGTCTCGATATCGAAATTGAGAACGGCGGCGAAGTTAGAGCTGAAATCCTTGCGGGAGATGCAGAACTGTCTATGTTCGGAGAAGACCTTGACTGTATGCTCGTCAGCGATCTCCTCGAGTACCTTTGAGAAGTTACTCGTGGCTTTGTAGAATACATCTGCCATTAGAGCCGTTTCGTCAGGGAATCCGACCGAAGTGTCCATAACACATTGTTTTGGGTCGTCCAAAACTAATCCCTTTTTCATCTTCACACACCTGGGGTTATTGTGAATCTTGTCCAAGGCTGTGTTTGTTAGCAGGGTGAGCAGGATGTGTACCCGCACTCACGCCAAGTTTATAATCGGTAACAGGATCTCTGTGAGTGTGTCCGTTCCCTTCTCTAGGATCATGTTCTGCTGAGTGAAAATCAATGCCTTCTTGGCAGGCACCGATTCTCCAGAGGACGTGAGAGCAGGCGTGTGAGCAACTGTGTTCATTCCTGCGAGGCCACAAAGGATTTTCTTCGTGGTCGGTGTCAATGACCCGATGAAATCTGTGGCCTGCGCTAGTTTCTTGTTTAACAGTGATAAGGGCACTGGGGTCATTGGGAGAGAGGGTGGTTCATCAAGGAACTCCTCGTCATCTGAGGGAACTTCGATGAAATTGGGGTCTTCGTGTAAGGCCACTTGCGCTGCGTTCCTCTGCGATTGCAGAAGATTCTCTCCTATCACTGCTTCACGGTTGTCCAGATTGATGTCTTCTCTGTTTCTGCGTCTGAGAAAGTTAGCAAGACGCACAGCTTCACCATCAGACGTCGCGCCAAAATTCCTCCCAGGGTTGACAGCTTCTGTGCTTTTGCCTGCAGCTCCGGCTGGGGGATCAGAATTCGTGATACCAGACATTTAATTTTGATGTGAAGAACAATGGTAAATGTATCTAATGACTTGAGCTCAAATTCTCAACTTGAGAAAAGACATGAGTGAGCAAAGATGTTGAAAGATAAGAGACACAACATGTCTAAGCCACATCTGATGTGCTCACTTAATTAGTAAGCACTTGTTTGAGCTCATTTGTTTGCAGG